GAATTAATGCTTTATGCTTCCGTTGCCGAGTCGAGCGGAATATGGTGACGTGGCCGCACTGTTGGCATCATGTGGGCCCATCAACGCCGCAACAGTGACTCCTCACCGTCGTGATTGCCCCCCCAGCTTTCCACCCGTCTCACCGGCCCTTATCTCACCGGCCCCCACCTCACCGCTCTCCATCACATCTCACCGCTCCCTCGATCTCACTGCCTACCATCTCACCGTCTCAAATCTCATCACCTCTCCGCATCCCCCCCTTCCCCGCTCCCCTGTGCGGCTGTGGGCGCGCAGACGGCGGTGAGCGTGGCGGACGGCGTGACCGACAGCACGGGTCGCGCGATCACGGCGGTGACGCCGTACGCCACGTCAACGGTGGACCTCATCAGCTCCGCCGACCCCACCGCGCTCTCCATCGCCGCTGGGGGGCTCTTCGGGCTGTACCTGCTGCTGCCCTCCATCGGCCGCGGCATCGCCTACTCCTTCCGCGGCTACGCAGGTGCGCTTCCGGCCGCTGCTGCTGCTGCTGCTGCTGCCGCCGCCGCCGCTGCTGCCGCTGCTGCTGCTGCTGCTTCTGCTTCTGTCACTCCCACTCGCACTTGCTCGCACATCCACTCAGTCCCAGTGGCCTCAAGGCCTCCACCTATGCATAGGAGCATTTCCCCCTTTGTGTCCCCATCACTCTGCCCCAATGGCCCCCACCTTTTCCCCCGTCGCCACATTCTAAACCCCTTTCCTCCCCCTTCCCCGTCCCCCTCCATCCCCCCCAATCCCTCGCCCCACCCTCCACTGCCAGGCGATCTGACGGCAGCGCAGGCGTTGGACGTGTTGGAGAGGGAGGACAGCGTGCTGGTGGACGTGCGCTCAGAGGACCAGAAGCTCTCCTCCGGCGTGCCCTCGCTGCCCCGTGGGCTCTCCCGCAAAATCATCTACGTTCCGTGAGTCATATGCTGTGCGTGTGCATGCCACAACTCCCTCCTTGTCATCTTCTGCTCCTGGTAATCTCGGTTTTCGTGCTGCCTCCTCCCAAACGCTTGACCTGACAATACGCCTGAACCCTCACCCGTTAATAACAAAGTGGATCAAACTAAACGAATGCTAAATCCCATATACAACTCCACACAAAGAAAAGAAAGGTTAAGGTGACAGAGCAGCTCAAAAGCCTTCAGGTGACTTGGAGTCTGACTAATAAATATCCCCTTCCTTCCCCCCCACCTCCCAAACCCCCTCCTTCCCCCCCTCCCCGTGCATGTGTGCAGAGTGGAGGAGGTGCCAGTGGAGCTGAGGGATCAGCTCAAGAACCCCTCAGACACGGAGGCGGAGCTCACAGCCATCAAGGTGGCGTCACTCAAGAGAATTGGCCGCCGTGCCAAGCTCCTCATCATTGACAAGTCAGTGCCCTCCCTCCCTCCCTCCCTCCCTCCCTCCCTCCCTCCTTCCATATGCCGCCTATGCCATTGTTTTGTTTTGTTTGTTTGTTTGTTTGTTTTTTTTATTTTTTTCCTTTTTCTTTTTCTTTTTCTTTTGTCTGTGTGTGTGTTTTTTTTTTAACGTGCTCTTTCTTGATTCCGTCCCACACGAAACTCTTAACTCTTCAGCTTCTTGACCCTCAAATCTCCCTTCTCCCTTCCCTTCTTTACCCACACACTCTCTCTCCCCTGCCCCTTCCCCCTCCCACTCCCCCATATCAAACGTCACCTGTCTCCTCCCTGCAGCGACAATGAGATTTCAAAGCAGGTGGCGCGGTCGCTGGCATCGCTAGGCTACCGCAATGTGTGGGTCGTGCGTGACGGCGTGGAGGGGAGGTCGGGGTGGGCGGCGAGCCAGCTGGCGATCGACTCGTACGACGGGCCTCCCACGAGCTGGTTCTCCGTGCCGTCCTACTCGTCGGGCGGCACCAGCAAGGAGCGCACCGGCACCCAGAAGCTCGGCACTCAGTCAAGGCTCGGCACGCAGTCGGTGTCTGCAGCTGCCTCCACTGCTGCTGGGGAGGAGTAAAGCTGCGGATGTGGGTGCAGCAATGGCAGTTTTGTCAAAAGCTATAGGTGCTTGCCTTCTTTTGTAAATTAGGTTTGTGTTGCTCCAACTAAGGAGTGAGAAAATAATATGTTTGGAATGATGGTATGGTGAGTAGGAAGCGTAGCAGCAGGGAAAAAGAATATATATCTGAAAGTCACCTAGAAGTGTGGATGAGACATGGATTGTGATTCGTAACTTCAAATTCATAGCATAAGCTGTTGGAGATCGGAAAACAATGAGTCCCACTAAATGACGTACGGGAGCAGGCACGCATTCAACCCTTCGTCAGGCCTCCGATCACTATCCCCCTGAGGCGCCCCTTTCCAATTTCGCCCCCTCCCCGCGACACCATGCCGCTTCGCCCTGCAATCACAGCGCCCTTCATTTCCGCCTTCCGACCGTGTCCCCTGCACTTTCTTCCGCGCACCTTTCCGCCACCCATCACTCCGCCCATGGCTGCGTACGTCCCTGCGCTCGTCGCTGCGCCCACAGGCGCGGACCTGGGGGAAACCCGCGGCACCGTTTTCACGCCAAGCCGCACGTTTCTCGGAAGCCAATCCTCGTCGCCATCGGCTCATCGCGAATCGTCGCTTCGGCCTCTGGCGATCCGCTTTTCCTCCTCGCTCACCAGTCGCGCCACCTCCGCCACCTCCTCTCCTGCCCAGCAAATCCCAGTCGCCACCGCCACCTCAGCACGGACCAATCTCCGCGGCGGCCAGAAGCACAGCGGGGGAGTCAGGGGGCTGCGCTGCGCAGGTCGAGCGGACGCGCTGGCATCCGGGGAGGCGGGCGCGAGGGCCGCGCGGGGAAGCGAGAGCAGCGCGTGGCAGGTGGAGCTGGTGCCTTGCCTCACGGACAACTACGCTTACCTCCTCCGCAATGCCGCCACTGGCGCCGCGCTCGTCGTCGACCCCGCGGAGGCTGCGCCCGTGGAAGCGCGACTGGCGGATTTGGAGGGGCTGACAGGCGGGAAGCTGGCGGCTGTGCTGTGCACGCACCACCACTGGGACCACACGGGTGGCAATCTGGCGCTAAAAGACAAATTCGGCGCCACGGTAGGTGGGATCTTTGTGAGGGGCCGACCCTGGGTGCTGAAGCCCTGAAGCTGCGGCCGTGTGGCCGGTTGCTCCCTCGCACATCACATCACGACATGGCTTTCTCGTTGCTCGTTGCTCCCCTCCCCATGGCTCCTCACCCCGTCCCTTCTCACCCCATTGCTTTTCACCACAATCCCTGCGCATGCTCCCCTGCTGCAGGTGGTTGGCCCCGCTGCTGACCGCGACCGCATTCCAGGCATTGACGTGGCACTGTCAGATGGTGACACGTGGCAGTTCGAGGGGCTGGAGATGCACGTGATGCACACCCCCGGTCACACCCGAGGTGCGCCCATGCCACTTGTGGAGGGAGAGGAGAGCGGGCTGAGCCGTGAGAGGCAGTGCAGGGTAGGGAATGTCAGTGAAGGGGGAGAAACAGAGTGAGTGAGTGCACAAGAGCAGATTCAAGCCTTCTGCTCCAAATCTTTCACCACCACTCCTCTTCCTCCCCTCCCACCTTCATCCCCACTCAATCATCCTTTGGCTCAAATCCACCTTCTTCTACACCCTCTCCTCCCTCCCACCAGGCCACTGCACGCTCTACTTCCCCGCCCTGGCAGCGCTGTTCACGGGCGACACACTCTTCTCCCTCGGCTGCGGCCGCCTCTTTGAAGGCTCGCCCTCCCAGGTGCGGCCTGCATTGCCCTTCAGTCAACTGCTGGCTGACACGCCTGCTTCCCTGCCCCCTCCCTTGCTTTCCCTCCCCACTCCTTTCCTCGTCCCTTTCTCGTCCCCCTCCCCCGCGTCCCTGAATTCCCTCGCCCCTGATCCACTGCTCACCCCCTCTCTCCCCATCCCCATGCAGATGTGGGCGTCTCTCTCCCGCCTCGCCTCGCTGCCCCCTCACACCAAGGTCTACTGCGGCCACGAGTACACGCAGGTGACACCCGCTCCTCGCTTTGCTCTCTGCCCTTGCTCCTTTTGATTCTCTGTTACCCTTCCTGCATTCCTGATGACAGATGTTTCGTAACTTGAATTTGCATTCTAAACACGAAACTTTTCTGGTCATGTCTCGTGTGTGCTATGTGTGGGTGTGTGTCTGTGACGGGAATATGGGTGTCCCAAACGACAGGCCAATGCACGATTTGCCATGGCAGTGGAGCCAAATAATGCCGCCCTGCAGCAGCGGGTGGACGAGATCACCCGCCTTCGATCCCAATCGCTGCCCACCGTGAGCCCCCTCCCCTCTCTGCCCATTCATCTGCTAGATGTGGATGTGCATGTTGCATGTGCATGTTGCATGTTGCATGTTGCATGTTGCATGTGCATGTGCATGTGCATGTCATTTTCTGCACTGCCTTTCTGCCCATCACTGCTCGTTCCCCCATCTGCCCATTCACCAATATCCCCATCCACTCGACACCCCATCCACTCAGATCCCCAGCACAGTGGGTCAGGAGGCGGCCACCAACCCCTTCCTGCGCGCCGCCAGTGCTGAGATCCGCCAGTCGCTGCACATGAGTACTGATGCCGCTGACGTGGACGTCTTTGCTGCTCTCAGGCGCATGAAGGACAACTTCTAGCCCACGCCTTGTCGTGCCTTGTTAGCTATTAAGGCCCACAGTTGCTTAGTGTGCCGCATAATGCGTTTTTGCAGTGTATTCATGTGCTAATGGTGTGGCTGTAGGTCCTGGTTGTTAATGAAAGCCCTGTATTTGCGGTGAACAAGGAGGGGCACATGCAGGTGGCATCAACACGGGTCCGCATGACGCACGGTGGTGAGCCTATGCTGCGGGACAGCTGGGCCTGCTTCGCTCCAAGGCATCTCCCCTGAAACGCGTCACTGTGTCAAACTGGGTGCTGTCAACCCATTCGGTCAAAAACAGGCGGTTACCTCATGAATCCCCATTCTGTCAAAACAGGTGGTTAGCACATAAAGTGAAGTGGTCACCCCATGATGTCAAACGGCTGGAACTGCTTCTTGAAGGCATCAGCCATGGCTGCCTCCTCCTCTGCCGTCTCCTTGCACGCCCTCCAGTCGCCCCTCTCCGGCACCCCCACCATCCCCGCCACCACCTGCACATGGCGTCATGTGTGGGGAACAGAGTGGGGTGCAGGGGCATGGGGGGGTTGGAAGAGCATGGGTACGGGGACCCATATATCTTATGGGAGTTGCACAAGGAGCAGGAAGGCACAACACAAGCACAAGCACAAGCACAAGCACAAGCACAAGCACAGCACACATCACTCACTAGACCTCACGAACCCGTACTGCCCCGCCTTGCCCCGCTTCTCTCACATGTCCCCCAACCCCAACCCAGCTCACCTGCCGCACACCCAGCCTACATGGACCCACGCCTAGCTATCTCTTCCATGCCACACCCGCCTCTCTCTCCCCCCACCCGTGCCGCACCTCCCTTCCCAGCTGCATGGGCAGCTTGGCGCCGCGGTCGATGGCATGCACGAGCAGCGACCCATCGGGCAGCTCCACTGTGAGGTACTGCCCTCCGCGGCTGTGCTTCTTCACCTCGTCCACCACCGCCATGTGCTGCCCCTCTGGTGTGTGGAGGAGGGATGAGGTGGAGCCAGGAGTGGGGAGAGGCGATGAGGTAGAAATCACGGAGGTTCGAGGAAGGAGAGACCAGACGGTCAAACAAGACCAAGTTAACGGGTTCAGGTGCATCCACCGTGGCTTCAAGCTCAGGTGCTTCACCAGGTGTTCTACACAAAGGTTCAGGTGGGTTACCAGGTGGTTTTGGCACGGTGGCAAACTGGAAGTTGTGGGAGGCAGCAGCGGCAGTGAAGGCAGGAAGCACCTGGTCCGCCTTGTCCTGGGGGATGGGCACCACCTGCCATGCATGCATGCACGCACATATAGCAGCCATAGGGGGAGAGGAATGGAGGGAGCGTTAGAGAGGGGTTAGGGCGACGGTGCATTAAAGCCAGGCAGGCAGCACCTGGTCCGCCTTGTCCTGGGGGATGGGCACCACCTGCATGCATGCACGCACATATAGCAACAACAGGGGGAGAGGAATGGAGGGAGCGTTAGAGAGGGGTTAGGGCGACGGTGCATTAAACCAGGCAGATAACTCCTGGTCAGCCTTTTCCTGGGGGATGGGCACCACCTGCATGCATGCATGGTGAGCAGAGGTGGGGAGATGAGTGCTCCCCAGGCGCGGCAAAGATGGGTATGCGTGCGTGCAGGGTGTGAGACGGGTATGCCCTAAAGCAGCCATGGGAGACGACTTCTGAGACGCCCATGTGGTGTCACTGCCACCCCGCCTGCCACATTCACACTCACATTCACTTACTCAAACTGACGCTCACACTCACTCCACCACACTCCACCACACTCCACTCACTCCCACTCACACCCACACACACCCCCACTCACATTGACATGTGCGTGGGTGGCGGCTCTGAGCTGCAGGAACCGCTCAAACGCCACCACCGTCCGCCCCTGCGCTTCAAAGCACCGCCTCAGCGCGCCCATGTAGCGCCACATCTCCGCCAGCGCGTCGGATGGCAGCGAGATGACACTAGGGAAGTGCTCTATAGGGAGGATGAGCACGTGGCCCGGCACGAGAGGGCCCTTGGGTAGGGCGACATAGCAGTGCTCGCCCACCGACACCACCAGATGGGTCTCCACTTTAGGGGACGCCAGGCAGAACCAGCACGGCGCCGGGGCAGGGGGCGCTGCTCCCCCTGCTGCCCCCCCAGCTCCCCCTGTTGAGCCCCCTGCGCCCCCTGCTGAAGGAGCAATCAGAGCGGCGAGGGAGGCGGGGGTGAGGGGAGGGGGAGTGCCGAGGAGGCCGGGGGAGGTGGAGGGCAGCGAGTGGGCGAAGCGGCACGTGTCACCGCGAGTGCAGCTGCCCCGCCGCACAAAGTCAAAGCACACGCCCTTGGGGAGGTCTGACGCTCCGCCACTGCTGGGCCCCACGCCCGCAGCAGCAGCAACCGCAGCAGCCGTCGCAACGGCAGCAGCAACAGAGCCAGGAGCAGCGTTCCCGCCTCCCCCCTGCCCCTCCCCCGCTCCTCCCCCCACTCCTCCCCCAGCCTCCCCACCCGCCAGTGAGTGCCTAAATCGACAATCCGTCCCTCTGCTGCAGCTGCCCTTGCTGAAATGCTCAAAGCACAGGTTGCGGGGCAGCGGTGACCCATCCTCCAGTGTGTGCATGAAGCGACACGCATCGCCCCGTGAACACACCCCCTTGCCTGATAACTCAAAGCACACCTGCGGCCCCTCCCTGCCCCCTCCCCCTCCCCCCGCACCCCCATCCCGCCGCGCCCTCTTTTTCCCTGCAGCGTACCGCCAGTACTGCTCCCCCTCACCCGCCCCCCCCGCCCCCCCCGCCCCTCGCGCCTCTTCCTCCTCTACCTTTAATGCCCATGCAGGCTTTACCGCCGCTTCCCCCCCTCCTTTCCCCCCATCAGAACTTTCCCAGAAGGTGCGCTTTGCAGCGGCCTCCTCGGCCTTCGCCTGGGCGGCAGCGGCAGCGGCGCGGGCGGCACCGTCAGGGGCGGCGAGGCTGCCGGACCAGATTTGATTCTTTGCGGCCGAGGGGCGGGGGAGGAAGGGGGAGGGGGTGGCGTCGGGCGGGCGGGCGGCAAGGTGGGAGAGGGGGAGGGAGGAGGCGGGGCGCAGGGAGAGCGCGTGGAGGAACTTCTGCTTCGCCTTGTTGCCCACGGGGGCCAGACCTATGAACCGCGTCACGGCGCCCGATGCTGACGTGGAGGCGTCTTCTGCTGACGTGGCGGAGGAGTTGACGTAGGGTGGGCGGGCAAAGAAGACACCCGCGCTACCGGCCACGTGGTAGCTGGGCGGCAATGAGTGTGGGGTAAGGGGAGGAAGAAGCAGGGGGAGAGAGGGGGGACATGATGGGACAAGAATCAATCATGGGATACTGTATGAATGCTGCTCAAATCCACGAGCAGGCACATTGGTGCACTGCACGCACAACCCACCCAATTACATCCCCATTTCCTCCCATTCCACCCCTCCGCTCTCCCTCCTCCCCCCTCCTCTCACCGGGGCATGAGCTCCTTGGCCAGCGTGGCAGCAACAGGCGACCCCACACCCGCCCAGTCCACATTGGCATGTGCCGGTGCTGACGTGGCGGGTGGAGGCGAGGGCAGCGGGGAGGGGTGGGTGAGGGCAGCGACCCCCTTGGGCCACTCGTTGGTCAGCAGCACGTCAATTGCCGCCCCGTCCGCCCCCGCATCCACCAGCGCCTCCACTGCCACCCGCTCCTGCCGCCCTACTGCCGCCCCCTCGCCGCCCGCCTGCCCCGAGAGGTACGTGGCGGGATCATATCTGCCGCCCAGATAGGCCACCTTGAGGCCTGCGGGGCAGGACAGGGGAGGGACGGGGTGGAGGGTAGGTGGGGTGGTGGTGGGGTACAGTTGGAACAGTGGTGGGCAGTGGTGGGCAGTGGTGGGCAGTGGTGGGCAGTGGTGGGCAGTGGTGGGTGGTGGTGAGGCGGATTGGATCCACCAGGCAGGCAGAGAGGGGATGGCTTAATTTGGCCCCTGGGCACAGAGCAGAGAGCTCACAGCATGCATGATGCATGATGTATGATTGGCCACTCACGCACCGCACAGGTCAGCAATGCCTGCTCCGCGCAGCCATTCGATATTGTCACATATCTTCACACGCCTGTGCGACCGCCACTCCCCCTCCCCCACCTCCTCGTCCTCCTCTTTCTCACCCCCCCCTGACTCGTCCCCTTGCCCGCCCGCCCCGGCCTCTCCCTTGCCTTCCTCCCCTTCCCCTGCTTCATCATCCGCTTTGCTTCCACCCCCCTCCCTTATCTCCTCCCCCTCCCCTTTCTCCTCCCCCTCCGCTTTCTCCTCCCCTTCCCCTTTCCCCCCCTCTTCTACTTCCTTCTGACCTTCCTCCCCTTCTGCTTTTTCCTTCTCCTCCCCTGCCTCCCCTTCTTTCCGCGTCGCTGCCCCCCCGCCGCTCCGCTCAGCTATCTCCAGCAGCCGCTGCGCGCCAACTCCAATGTCGCCAATAAAGAACGTCGGAAGTGGCGCCTTGGCGCGTCCCGCGATGTAATCCTCCAACTCTGATTGGCCGCCCGCTCCGCCTGCACCAGCGGTAGCGGGATCGGCGGGCGGAAAGAAAGCGCCGACGCAGAAAAGACAGTCGAATGGACCGTTGGACTTGTTGACCTGTGATTGATGGAGCGGAGGGCGGGGAGAGAGGGAGACGGTGAAGAGGACAGAGGAAAGACAGAAAATCAGAGGTTCAGATTCGAAGAAGTGGATGAGCCCGAGGAGATTACGGCGAAGAGCCCTCGGGAAAACGGGATCGTTGCTCATCAAATCGGTTAACACGGAGCGGACAAGAAATACTCTAATCGCGAGATTCCCCACATATCAGCACCCGCTACGGCGACTCACCGCAGCGGCTCGTTTGAAGAGCTGATTCAGGCGACCTTCTACGTCGCCCGCGAAAAGGTATCGGCCGTGAGGCTCGGCCGCCATGGGGAAGAAACCCGTACGATGCGCTGGCTGAATGAGTACGACCTAGAGTTCAGACTGCACAGCAGGTTGAAGGCGCCATTTACTGGTTGGGTCTGGAATTTGAGATTTGAGGTTGTGCTGTGCAGCCCATTCAAATTAGGGTTCTTATGTCGAAGGCACCGAAAGAACAGCATGTCGAGAACATCTATTGGTTCGAATTTAGAGATCTTGGCTCGGCAACTAGGGCACATTTGATTCGTTGTGGTGCGCCCTCAGGTTCGTCGTCACGCCTTCGCAAGACTCCGAGCCACTCCCAAGGCTCCTCTCAAGCATGAATCTTTCTCGAGCTTTGCTCCAGAAGGGTCCGAACCAGCAGCCAAGAAGTTAAACAACTCGAACCAGAATTCGACGCTCGGCCATACCACTGACCAATAGGAGAGCAGTCTTGTTGGTCATTAGGGCTCGCATCAGGGGCGGCTTGGTTGTGGACTTCGGGCGGGGCGAGCCTGGCGAAATGCCATGATTGGAGACTCCGTTGGTTTGGGAAGATTGGTGGATGTAGTGAAGGGAAATCTCGCGCAATTTGCCGGGCAGGGCAGAACAAGAGCACCCTCGATTTTCTCCTCCCAACCACCCTCTCGATTTCTCCCTGCGCCTCGCCTCACCTCCATCCTTCCTTTCCATTCCAAGTCGATCCCTCTCCGCTATCTCCGCGCCTCACATCACATGCTCTCTGTCTTCCTGCTCGCTGGTGTCTTCCTTACGACAGCGAATCTAGCGAGTAGATATTGCCGGTTCTCCGAAGCGTAGGTCGAGTGGCGCACTGCGGTATTGAGTGGACATTAGATAACGGCGGTGCTTGACATCATCTGAAGCAAAAAAAACGGCATTGGCTGGAAGTATCTAGGTTTTACTCTTTAAAAATTACGAGATCCATTATCAAAATGTGTTTCTGAAGCGTCGTTTAAATCGCGGCGCGTAGCCGCCTCCGCCAGCCTGCCATGTCGAGCAACAGCAGCAGCGGCGGTGGGGATGGCGACGGGGAAACGACAACGCCGCAAGTGGTGTTGACGCGGCACGGGGTATGGCTCGCGACGGCCTTCCCCGACTCCTCTGTGGGCATCGGCGCGAGCTGCGGCGTGCCCGGCGGCGCCGCTTTGCGTAGCGGATCTCGCGGCGGCGTGCGACGGAGGGAGGGGGCCGATTACGCGGTGCCGCGTCATGTGGTGGAAGAGACCAAGCGGCAGTTGCGGCCGCTGCTTAACGCGCTTAGATTCGTGGAGTCGAGTAACAGGTGCGGAGCGCTCGTCGGCGTTGCACCCACTCTTCTGGTCTTGCACCGCTCTCCGCCCTCTCATTCCTTCTCTCATCTAAGCTCCTCGTTCCGCCGTTTCCGCACATTTTCCAGGGTGAATTGCCCTGACGGCGACAACGGGAAGAGCATCGGGCCGCTGCAGATATCGGAGGAGTACCATCGCGACGCGTGGGGGCCGCTGACGGGACCGTGGTCGCAGTGCAGGTGATGCTCGTAGCGCGGCTGTTGGCGCTTTGCGTTCATTGGTGGTATTAGCGGCTATTAGCGGTATTAGCGACTGTTAGTGGCATTACCGAATATCAGTGGTATTAGCGGCTATCAGTGGTTCATTAGTGTCATTAGCTGTCAGTGACGGTTATTAGCGGCTATTAGCAGTTACTGACGATAACTAGCGGCTAGCAGTTTATGGCGATTCGGCTGTTGGATCGCCGTGCATGTTCACCCTTTTTGCAACTCGGCGCCTTATTTCCTTTCTTCCTTTCCCGCTTCCCATGGCGGCGCCGCGGCGTGGCGGAATGGCGGCGTGGCGGCTTGCGGCAGGGAGCTGGCGCACGCGGAGGACACGGTGGTGTCGTACTGGATGCGCTACTGCCCGCACGCCATCCGCACACTCGACTGGGAACTCCTCGCTAAGGCGCACAACGGTCTGCCGCGCCCCCACTCCCCCCTTTCTCCCGCCTCCTTCCCCCCATTCCTCCTCCCGTCCTCTCCCCCTCCACGCCCTCCGGACCCCCTCCCTTTTCCCGATCACCGTCTTGCTGCCCTACCCCATCATCCCCCTCTTCCCCTCTTCCTCCCCACACCCAATTTATCACTACCCTCGCCTCCATCCCCCGCCCCATCCACTTCCCCCACCCGTCTTTTTTCCCCCGTCCCATCCCCACGCGCCTCCACTAATCAATCCCCCCTCGGTGCAGGCGGGCCGCGCGGGACGCGCTACAGCAAGACGCAGCGGTATTGGGGGAAGGTGCGCCGCCACCTGCAGCACCAGCAGGCGCTGCTCATCCCGCCCTCCGCCGCCACCATCCCCCCCCAACGCCCCGCGCACCTTGCGCCCTCCGCGCTGGCAGCTCCTGGAATTCGAGGTGCGTGCACCATTCCGCGGGTGGGCTGTTCCGCGGATGAGTGGTGTGCGAATGCGGTGGGCACGTGTTCGCTGGGCGCACTGCAGCGGGTGACTGCTGCATGTGGTGGTGCAATCACGGGCTCCCCATAATGCTCGCCTCATTACACACCATTTTGTCTCATCGCCTGCTGTCGCCTGGTGCCGTCCCCTTGTGTTGCTTTGTGCCTGCAGACCCGTTGCTGTGTGGTAACCAGTCCGTGGTTACATGGTGCGCTGTGGAGCAGCAGAGGCGGAGGGCGCAGGGCGCAGGGGAGGGGGGAGAGGGCGAGTGGGCGATGGGGGTGGATGAGCTACGGAGAGTGGCGGTGGTGGTGGAAGGAGGGGGAGGGGAGAAGGGGAAGGGGCAAGAGGGGCAGGGGGATGGGAAGGGGCAGAGAGCGCGAGGGCAGTTACACCAGGTGCAGCACAGCAGCAGGCATCATCACAGCACTCGCCCCGGGAGAAGGAGACCTCGCAGGCTGCTGCTGCCTGTGCGCCTGCTCTCGCCCTCCTCCTCACTGCACTGCACTGCACCGCTCGCCCACATCCCCTTCGCGTCTGCCACGTCAGCAGCCATCGCAGCTGCCACGTTGGCGTATCGTCCGGCCTCCCCTCCTTCCTCCCCCAACTATCTATCTACTCCCCCTGCTCTCTTCTTCCCCTCTCCCCGCCCTTCTGCTTCCGCCCACTCCGCCCCTCCGTTCCCCACCTCGCCCCCCCACCGCCCCTCCTCTCCGCCCGTCCCTTCCGCGTCCCCCTTCCCCCGGTCGCTATCCCCCTCCGCATCACCAGCGCCAGCGCCAGCAGCGGGGGCGACAGCAGGGGCTGCATGCGCAGCACATGGCGCCCCTTCCCCCCTCCTCCTCGCGGACTCCCCTTCTTCCCCCCGCCCTCCCTCCCCCCCGCACGCCACTTGCCAAGGGGACGCGGGGGTGGGAGTAGGGGGAGAAGCAGCACGCGCATCAGGGGGCGGACGTGGGGAGGCGGTCCTAGAGGGGGAAGCAGCAGGGGATGCGGAAGGGTCTGATGAGGCGGTCGTAGAGGGGGACGCGGTGGATCTGGAGTTGCTGCGCGCGCTGATGGGGGGAGATGCGGGGGAAGGGCGGCATGGGGGGGTTGGGGCGGATGAGAGTGACGAGGGGGGTTGGGACAAAGTGGGAGAGAGAGGTTGGGGTGTTGACATGCTGTTGCAGTTGGAACAACAAGGTGGGGAGTGGGAGGATGGGGAGGTGGAGGAGGGGCGAGAGCGAGTGGTGGTGGCAGAGGGGAGTGTAGAGGGGGGTAATGAGGGGGAGCAGGAGGAGGGAAGTGAAGGGGAGCGGGAGGAGGGAAGTGAAGGGGAGCGGGAGGAAGGGAGTGAGGGGGAAGGCGAGGTGTGGCAGCAGCTGGCGGCACTGATGGGGGTCGCTGGTGAGAAGGGGGCCTTGGGGGGCGTGGCAGCAGCGGAGGCAGTGGGGCAGGGGGAGCAAGAGGGGCAGGAGTGGCAGGAAGGGCAGGAGGGGGGTGATGAGGGGCTATCATACAGGGAGATGGCGCAGTGGCTTCTGCAGCACACCACTGACGTGGTCTGGGAAGGCGAGGGGGAGGGGGAGGAGGGGGAGGAGGGGGAGGAGGGGGAGGAGGGGGAGAAGGAGGGGGATGATGAAGTGGGTGGGCCAAGAAAGGAGGTAGGGGAGGAGAAGGCGCAAGGGGAGACAGCAGCAGAGGCAGAGGCGGTGGAAGGTGCTGCAGGCAAGGGGAGTGAGTGGCAAGGAGCTGTGCTGCTGGAGCAGCCTGTGCCAGTGCCTGACGCTGAGCTGGCAGGTGCTGCTGAGCTGGCAAGTGCTGCTGAGGCGGAATCTGGGAGCAGCAGCAGGGGCGGCAGGGGAAAGGGGGGGCGGATGAGCAGCGTGGTGTGGGAGGTGGTGGGTGCATGGGACCGCCTGCTGTGGGACGACCAGCCGAGCAACGTTGCTGTCGCACCATGTGCTGCTGCTGCACCCACCTGTGCCGCGCCGAGCGATGCCGCGGAGGCCGCAGCAAGCAGTGCTGTAGTGCCGCTGGGCGGCGCTCCGATCAATGCTGTCGCACGAGAGATGGAGGAGAGGGAGATGGAAGGCACGGCACGGGGTGTGAGCAGAGGTGCAGAGGAGGAGGGTGCAGAGGAGGGTGCAGAGGAGGAGGGTGCAGAGGAGGGTTCAGAAGAGGGTGCACTCATCCTTCACCCCGCCGTCGCCCTTACCTCATCCCTGTCTCTCCCCTCCCCCTCCACTCCTCCCACTCCCCTCCCTCTCCGCCTCGACCTCACCCCCACCACTTCACCTCTCTCCATTTCCCCTGCTTCCCCCCTCCCCCTGCAGCGCCTCTCCCCTTCCCCATCCCTCCCCCTGCCCCTCTCCCCCGACCCCCTAGCAGCAGCGGTGCTGCAGCTGTGCTCGCTGTGGTCTCACCTCCACACGGACCTCCGAGAGAGATCACGCACCTTCCACCGCCTCTCCCTCTCCCTCTCCCTCTCCCCCGCCGGTGCCGGCAGTCCCGGCGCTGCCGCCATCCACTCTCTCACCAGCAGCACCGCTCTGCACCGCACGCACAGCTGCATGGATGCCTGGTCGCCAGAGGCAGTGTTGGTTGAGGTGGAGAGGTTGCAGAGACAGTGTGAGGCGGCGGAGAGGAGAGGCAGAGGGGGGAGGGGAGACGGGTGTGGGGAGGCAATGGGGGTGACTGTGGATGGGGAGTTTCAGCTGGAGGAAGCTGCCAGGAAGGAGCATGAGCAGCGGGCGGCGGTGATGCGGGCGGTGCGGGCGGCGATGGGGCGCGGGGAGAGGCTGAGGCTGTACGACCAATGGGGGGTTGACAGGTGGCAGCAGAGCCGGCTGCACACGATAGTGTTTCAGCGGCTTTGGAATGAGCCCATGCTGTGCGTGGCTTGAGGTGCTTTCATGTGATGGTGGTTAGATCTGCTCTGATATGCAAGTGGCTTGAGCTGCTTCTGATCACCTTAGAATGGTCAGAAAAAGATTCATTGAGTCCTTCACCCTCCCACTTCCTGCCCTCTTCCTCCCCCTTGTTGCTGCTCTTCCTCCCCCCTCTGATCCCCTTTCCCCCGTGCCCCGCTCCCTGCTCTCTCCCCTGCATGCACGCCCCAGGTGTGCGGAGAGTGCGGCACTGGTCGCCAAGTTCCTTCCCTGACATCAATTGACTTGACATCACATCGCATTCCCACCTCCCACGTAGACCACAAGGCTTGTGACCAGGGGGTTTAGTCCCCGTGCTAGGTATCCGGATTCAAAAGAACAAGCATGCTGTAGATAAGGGAAATAAGGGAAACAGAATGGTGTTAATAGGCGTTGTTGACTAGACAAATGGCTGATTGTCAGTTTGGTTCTAGGCCAAAAAACCCCCATGCAAGTTGGACCAGCTGATGGAACGTGGAGGAATGCAATCATTGGCCTCAACTCAACTCGCAGCTATGTTAAAGTGACCAGTGAGCCACCACACTACACTACAGCTACAAGCTAGCCTAGCCCTAGACCCGGTTTGTGGCACAAGCAGTGCATCGACCACAACTATAACCATGCGTTGGTGCATGTTATTACCGTACCTTGCCCACTGAAGCAGCTGCAGTGGCAGCAGCAGCCGCAGCGGAGGCAGCGGCGGCAGCAGCAGCAGCAGCAGCAGGGCAACGTATCAGAATGGTGGTTAGACAAAGCGTAGCAAAGATAGCAGATGAAGGTGGTGGTTAGAAGAAGCATCCTGGAAGGCTGGCACCCGTGCTTGTCTGGGCAAGGCACAACAGCTGGGGTGGGGTCTGTGCAAGTTGAAACGGCTCCGAATCGCAGTGGTGGTGGGTGCAGAGCTCCTGCACCTCGCGCTCCTCCCTTGGCACCACTGTTGAGCCGCCTTGAACGATAGCAGGGCACCAGCACCCCGAGCACATATTCCTCGTTGCAATGTGTGAGACATCTCAAGCCGACTGCTGCACCTAGAGGAGGCTAGAGCCCGTCTCTAGGAACGTCAGGCACAGGGCTGTATCTCTTCTGCACGTACTCCTGCCCTTGCATCTCCACTGCCACCTGCCCCATGCCCACTCCTCCTCCCACCACATCCCCTGCCTCCACCACGCCCTCCGCTCCCTCCCCCGCCCCATCCCCCTCTCCTGTAACTCTATGCTTCCCCTTCCGCCCCTCCCCCCTCTCCCTCAGCTTCCCACTGTGCGACTTCTTCTTCCCTCCTTTCCGCCCACTCCCCCCGCCCTCCCTCCCCGACCCATCCCTCGACCCCGACCGAGCAACACCCGCCCCGGCCGGCATCACGCCGCCCGCCTCCACGAACTGATCCGCCATGTGCCCGCCCTCGTCCTCCCTCAATTTCGTCACCTCCACCAAGTCATACTCCCTCTGCGCAGGCGATTTCCCCCCCCGCTGCGCGGGAGACCTACCCCCAGACGACCCTCTAGACCCAGGCCTAGACCCCTTGCTGTGGCGCCGCGCAGGGATGGCAGCAGAGAGCTCGGGCTGTTGGGGGTCGGAGGGGACGGCGGGGGGCTGTGGGGCGGAGGGGTCGGGGATTTCTGCGCGGAAGTGGTTGCGGGAGGGCGGGATGGGCGAGCACAGCGCCTCGTACACGTTGCGCACAATGCCTCGGTTGTTGGGGTTCACCTTCTTGTCGTAGCGGTACCGGAAGTTCTCATAAGTCGTCTGTGGGGCACACCGGATGAAGGAGGAGGGTGGCGGAGGGGAAGGCGGACAGAGATGGGGTGGATTGGTGGAACGGACTTGCCAATTTGAAATGAATGCCAAACTGAAAAGATTCGGTTTTAAGTTCTGGGATTCAGGTGGGATGGGGAGCAAAAGAGACGCACCTGGTTGGTGGACATGAGGTAGAGGTGGAAGGCCGAGAGGCCCCCCACGAACCACACGGCGAGGAACGTGTACGCCATGAGCACCGCTGCCATGGGCGCCTGCCCCAGCGCCTGCCACACCGTGCGCGTCTCTCCGCCTGGCTCGTACGCATTGTCCATCAACACCTGGCGGAGGGGCGGGTGGAGAGGGGCGGGGGGCGAGGGAGGAGGGGTGTTGCGATGCGAGGGCAAGGGAGAGGCGGCCGGGTGCGAGTAGACGGATCGTGGTGGGTTGGTGGAGGGGCGAGGGGCGACAGGAACGACAAGTGCGTGGGCAGCAGGTGGGGCGGAGCAGGAGGGGCGGCAGAGAGGGGTACCTTGATGAGGTAGGCGGAGAGTGAGAAGACGTAGATGCAGAGCGCCGTGGTGGAGCACACGAAGAGGAAGAAGAAGCGGTAGTTGCGCTGCAGGGTGGGGGGAGGGGAGGTTGGGGCGGAAAAGGAGAGGCAAGGAGAGGCATGAGATCAGAATGAACATGAAAGCCGAAAGGCGACAATCCAGATGGGCTCATTACAAGCCCTGTAAAGTGCATGGTGCCAACTCCCTTCCTCCCCTGCCTCTGCACTAGCGTGGCTTTCCCCCTCTCCTCCCCTCTCTCCCAGCTCATCGTGAGAGCCAAGACTGCATCGTTATGCGCCCTATGAAGTGTCTGATGCCAAGACCCTCTCTACCCGGTCTCTGCACTGGCGTGGCCTTCCCCCTTCCTCCCCTTTCCCCCTGCCCCTACACCTACCTATACCTCCCTCCCCCTGCCTGTGCACCGCGCGCCTAAACCCCTCCCCCTCCCCCCGCACCTTGCCAATGCACTGGCCCACCCACGGGCAGTGGTGGTCAAATCTCTCCACGCAGTTGTTGCAGATGCTGCAGTGCGAACACCGCGGCGGGCTGCCGCGCACAGGGAGAGCGGGTGGCGGGGGACGCGGGGAGCACGGGTGGGGGAGGAGGGGAAAAGGGAGAAGATTCTTGAGAAGTTGGAGTGAGCGCAATTCGGAGACCCAGCAGAGACGGATGGGGTAAAGGAAGGAGCGGTTCCATTGATACTTATCTGGCTAAAAAAGGCTATCAGGATGCAGAGAGCACGCACCGTGCACTCACCGGTACAGCATGCACGTGTCGCAGTATTTGACCTTCACCGTCTTGCCCTTAATCACCACGTCCTTAGTCCGCGGCAGCCGCCGCCCCCCCGACGGCCGCGGCGCCTCCACGTCACCGTCGGGCTCGGGGGGCTGCGTGTTGCGCGGGACTATGCCCGGATCGCGGCTGGATGTGAATAGCAGCACGCATAGATCCTGCGCGCCGCGGCGTGGGCGAGAGGGGGCGGGGATGTGGGATTAGAGAGGGGGGGAAGTGTGAGGAGGGATGCGGGAGGGTGGACGGGGAGAAGGAATGGGAGGGAATGGTTGCGACAGGGGGAAGGTGTAAGAGGGGGAGGGAAAGGTTGGATGGGAGGGGGAGGGGGGAAAGGCAGATGAGGGACGGGACGGATGGGATTGGAAGGGAGATGGGACAGGTGGGATGGGAGGGAGGATGAGAGAAGGCTAATGGGAGAGGAGATGGGGAGGTATGGATGGGAGAGGATGGACGGGGGACGGAAGCCGCGACGAGGAAGACGGGTTGAAATGGGATGGGCGTCGATGGCAGCTGGATTGAAAGAGAGACCTACACGCATTCACTACACGCATGCGAGCTTTAAACTAATCCCGACCAACAGGCTGAACACGGACTATGGAGGATGGTAGAGTGGATGGGGGGCGGGGAGATAGGAGCTGTGGAGGTGAAACGAAGATGGCAAGCAGGAAGGCGATAAATTCATAGTCTGAAGCGTCGGAGTAAGGTACAGCGACAAGGAGACGAGGATTTGGAATTGGACGAAGCATCAGTATGACGCACAGCATCGAGCGTGCGAGAATAGGCGAGCTTGATATGAATTCAGCTTCGAGAGTAACGAGATAAGGAGTCCTCGGTGATGGGTAGGACGTAGGGTGGCTACAAGTCACTCGCTACTCACCCACACTACGAGGCATATTCCGACTATTAGTATCGCGATGCCACCCGGGATTTTATTAATGAACTGAGCGCCAACGAATATGCAGAACAGCGTCCCCGGTATGGATATAAGGGCGATGGATATGAAGAGCGACCGCACGTCCGGACCGAATATGCAGCGACCCCAACAGAAGAAATTCTGCAAGGGTAAGAAGGCAGATTGGGTGTAAGAGCACGAATGGTTGGAGTTGTTTCAGCGGCGAGAGAAAGTGGTAGCAATTGCTGCAGATTCCGACGAGGGAAAGCGGTAGACGACCTAAGGCATAAAAAAAGGAATCTATTAGAAAGACTTACGTTACTGCCTTTCCAAGCCTGATACACCTTCGTCATTGCAAGAATCTATTGACCGTCATTCCTAGCGTTATGAAACACGAGTAGGTTCTAAGAAGCACGCGTAGATTTGTCACACTTCACATATGCTAACTGCCAGGAACGCGTCGACTGCGGTGACTAATTAGCGGTCACGCACGGCAATTCAATGAAGCCACGCGGAAAGATGGACGGGAGTCGGAGCGAAGCAACGGAATAGGAATAACGAGGACATGTTGTGGTGGCAGACTAGTTGGCTGTTTCAGCCAGGATCGCTACCCACAAAGCAAGTGTACACGGAGTGCAATTGGGGGATTCACAGGATACAGCAACCACGAACAAACTGAGGGCGTGTCTCAGATGTTGGAGTCCACGTGGGTCCGGCTCGGACCTGGCGGACCAGCTCAAATCCAGAGTCTGAACCAGGGGTTGACCGGGACGAGGAGGTCGGGGCTTGTAACCCCGATATACTGTTCGAATGCCACTAAAACGGTGCCATTTTTTGGGTCCTCCGGACCAGTCCGCGCATGGTCAACCTTGTTCTGCGAAATTTCTGTTTTTCGTATGTGTCACGCTAGATTTTTTGTCCCGACGAAGATAAAAGGTAACTCGATTTCAATTTCATCGCAACTGCTGCAACTCGCAAATACTGTGCAGCCCGAGACGCGACCCATCAGGCAGACCAGTCCGGTGTCTGGTCCAGCGCTGTTCCGCCAAGTGGGTCCGTCGGACCAGAACCCCGGACCAGTCGTAAAATTCTGGTCGCGGACCAGATCCAGCGGACCCGACACATGAGACACGTCCTGAGGAGCCAAGTCAAGGTAGGGGAGCGGAGGGTGCGCGGGAGGGGCTGGGTGGTTGGCGGAAAGGCGGGATGGGAACGGGGAGGATGGGAACGCGTCGAGAGTGCCGTGCGGACGAGGTTGGTTGGACGACCGCTGGTCCCCTCGGTTGCTTGTCGCCCGCACCGCGGGGTGTTGTTCTGCCAAGCTTGCGACGAGAAGGTCGTTGGGGATTGCTCCAGAAGGTTTTCGCAGACCCACCAAATTCAACCCAATTGCGGCTGGCGGCAGGCGTGAGTGACCTCTCTCTGGCTCAAATGTTCGCACAGGAGGCGCACCGACACAACCAACTCTGACGGATTTTCAGATTGCATACACCCGCCAACTAAAAGGAACGGTAACAGAGACGACGAGAGCGAAGATATACGCGGTAGAATGCGGCTGGCTGTGTGGTGCTAGAGTGGCAGCCAAATGCTTACACAGTATCGAAGACATCACTACATGAAACCATCTACCAAACTAGTGCTTCCTCCTAACAAAGTGGAAGATCACAATGTGAGTCCTATCCCATCGTCTATATGACAGGGCTGCATTTACCGGGGACTAACATAGTTCCTCCTTAGAACAGGTCGCACTGAGGGCAGGGGTATATTGAACAAATTGAAGTAGCTACTGTATGATTGTGGTTTGGGACCAATCATCTGCTTCGGACAACTTCTGAATTGTGGGAACCGCTTCAGAACCTCAGAGTTGCTCCTCAGCCCATAATCCCCAATCTTAGGGTCCCTGAACCCTGCCTTGTCAATACTCGTGGCGAAATAACGCATGCGATTGAGCGCAGGCACGGAGGGGAAAGGCGCGCAGTTAGGCATGTAAATCACATATTTAGGAGAGCCTGACGGGGTGGCTGAAACGAGCTCTGCGTAGTTTTCAGTGGGCAGACCGCTGCAGCCTGAGGTGACTGCACGGCTGTGAGCAGCATCTGTGCCGTTGTTGCAGTCGATGCCATTGATGCGGTTCTTCCCACAGAAGTTGGTCAGATACGGATAATTCTGCAGACAGCACACAGAGCAAAGGGAGTGGGGAAATGTCATTATCAACGCAAGGTTGCTGCCGATGAGAGGGGGTGAGAAGGATGGGAGACACGTAGAATTCAATGCCATGCTGAATGAGACAAAAAAGACAGGAGGGTGCTGGGTGCAAGACGCACCCATCGGATCTCTGGCGTCTGAAAGTAGGTTTTGAGGAGGCGGTTCCAGTTTGGGCCGGCATAGTTGTCGCAGTTGTTGAGGTGGTTGTTCTGGCACGAGATGTACCCCACTGAGAACTGTGTTGTGTTGATCATCACCATGCCCAGAATCATGTTGCTGCAGGTGGCGGGGAGACAAGAAAGCGCAAACAGAGTGGAGATGGGGGAGCAGAATGAGACGATGCGGAAGGCCAAGAGAAACAATATCGAGAGCAAACTGTTTTCATGCGAGCAGCACGAGAACAGCAGCCAAAGACAAGCACTGCCGTTAAGAATAGCTGGAAAGCCGAGTGAAAGCACCCTGCGTGTGCATCTGCATGCGCATCTGCATGAGCGACTCACTTCTTTCCGGAGTTGAGCTTGAGCCCATCAGCCGTCTGGTCGCACACAAGCCCGTCCGAGATGACCCCACTGGACACCCAGTCAATGTACAGGCAGTGCCCGCCACGGTACACATAGTTGCACCGCAGGTAATTCCCCGGGTTCACCCAGTGCGTGTCAAAGTAGATCCCGCTGTTGTCCAGCCGCGTGTTTGCCCCTGTCTCGCCAAAGTCATGCCGAATCTCATTGTAAGCCACTTTGGTAAGCATGGCATCGCCCACGTTGTTCATGCCATGGCCCATCTGGATCCCCGCGAGGGTGAAGTCGTGCAGGCGGTTATTCATCACGTTAACCCCTATCCCGCCCCACAAAATCATGATCCCCACACGTGCTCGCTGCGCCTGCTCCCGCCCCTCCCCTCCGGAAAACAGCTCGTTGTTTGTAATCCACACATTGGAGCGCTGCAGCGTGGGCCCATGCCCAGAGTACGACACACGGATGGCTGCTGGCCAGTTGGCAGGATTCACGGTGACCCGCATGTTGTCAATGCGGGAATACGCCGCACGCATGACGTCAATGCGTCCGTACACGGTTCCCTGTGTGACTTGCACGGCGAAGACGCGGAAGAGGAAGATGGCCGGGCAGGAGTAGCGGCCGATGTAGACGTCTCGCACCTGGTCAATGTTGGGGAATGTGCAATTACTGGTATCAGAGTCCTTCCCGGGGATGACTTATAATAATTTTCACAAGTGACTCAGATATAGCGGGGCAGGAGTAGCGAGTGGTCTAGACATGGCTCACCTGGTCGATGTTTGGGAAGCGGCAGATGGTGGTGTCAGAGTCCTTCACAGGGATTTGGAAGTTGATGCCGTGCACGAGTATGTTGTGCGTGTTGAACAGCTCCAACACTGGCGTGCTGCACATGCGAGGGAGGAGGGGGGATAGGTGGGGCAGAGATGGCAGGTAAGGATGGAGAGCATAAGAGAGTGAGGTGAAGTTGATGCCGTGCACGAGTATGTTGTGCGTGTTGAACAGCTCCAACACTGGCGTGCTGCACATGCGAGGGAGGAGGGGGGATAGGTGGGGCAGAGATGGCAGGTAAGGATGGAGAGCATAAGAGAGTGAGGTGAAGTTGATGCCGTGCACGAGTATGTTGTGCGTGTTGAACAGCTCCAACACTGGCGTGCTGCACATTGGCGAGAGGAAGGGGGGTGGGTGGGGTAAAGGTGGCAGGTAAGAAAGGATAGAGAGCATGAGCAAGTGAGGGGCATGCAGACATTCCAGGGTTGCTGTAACTGTCTGAACACCATGGCGATGTAGCAACGCCAGGGCGTGTACACTAACACACCATGCCACACCATGCCACACCATGCCACACCATGCCACACCATGCCACACCATGCCACGGCCACTACTCACGCAGTGTTGGGCAGGGAGATGGTGAGCCTGCCCGGGCGCGTGGAGTTGAAAATGGTGCACGAGAAGTTGGCTCCAAACACCAGGCCACGTGTCAGGCGCACGTTGCTCCACAGCAGCATGGTCACGAGCGTGTCGTTGGGGAGCGTGGCGCGGCGGAGGATGTCGCGCTCGAACCCCACGTTGATGATGATTGGCGGGTTCGGCACCTTGCACGGGCGCGCGCACGAGTTAACGGACACGCGCGGCGGGCCTGCGCGGAGGGGATGGGGGAGCGGAAGAAGGTGATGGGATTACGGGGGAGAAGGATGGGTGGGAGAGGGTGGTAGAGGGAGCGTGACAATGAGGCGGCGAATGCGACGCAGGGATGAGGAAGGCAGCGGCGAAAGCGTCGCTGGGATGAGGAAGACAGCGGCGAAGCCAGCGGCGAGTGGGGAGTGGAGGAGAGATTGGAGAGGCTTCGGATGCAGCAAGACCGCGCGCGGTCGTACCAGGGAAGTTAGCAGCCGAGGGGTCGTCCGATATGTAATCCATGGTGCGCGCCGTCGCCCCATCGCCGCGCGAAGCGTGGCGAGAGGCGCTGATGTCGCCGTCGCCGTCGTCGTCGCCAGAGCTGGTCGTCGCGGCATCGCCGATAGCGACGGCTGGGAGCAGCAGGCATGATGCGATCACCACGGCAGCCATTAAGGCACGAAACATGCTTCCTGACAGCATGTCGACCCGTTTCCTGACCGGAATTGCTACGACAGCTGACGTTCGAGTCAAAGTGACGCCAGACATGATGCTCGCGTTGGCTCTCAGCCAGCACAAAGTGCGACGATAGCTCGCTCGTCGCTACTCGTACCTATCAGCGGAGTCCCTCAAGGAATCCGCTTGGTGACCTCGCAAGATACCTCAAATTCAGAACTCAAGTCCGTCAGACCGGCTATCATGTTTCGTGGAGCGAATGCTACTAGGAACGACTCGCCCAACACCATCCCGCAAAGTGATCCCATTCCCAACGCAAAGGTTTCCACGGTTGCCTTGAACGAGTACCGTGTCGGGACCTCGAGAAGGTGCCATGGCGCCGTACCCGTTGGGGCCAGGAAGAGAGCTTCAGCTGAAATAGCAGGTGAAGGCAGATGTGAACGCAAAAAAGACAACTTCAAGGTCCGCGAAGCCCACGATAGAAGCAGCGAGTTCCACGAATAACGAGGCTACAAGCGAACAAGATGTTGTCCTCATTATACAGGGAGTTTCATGGATTCGTTATGAGTATTCTTGCTTTTCTTCAGCGTAAACATTGAATTTGTTGGTGCACGGCACTGATTGGCTGAGCCTTTACAGCCTGATAATGTCGGAAGGAAGCCGCACACGCAGCATCCCAGCTCAGGAAGGTTCAACCGTTTAGGTCGACCTTGAAGTTGTCAACGAGTGCACTTCTCTGACCACGATGTCAGCACGACGAATCCAACGTGGACCAGGCTCTGATGACGACAGGATGCCCGCGGAATAGAGCCAACGTGCTCGGCACTGGGTGGTTCGTGTAGAAAAATTGGTGGAAATTTCTCCACGTGGCGAAACCAAGCTCCAGAATCCGAGGCGGCTCCAGAATTCCGCTTCGTGTCCGCTTCTCCGCCTCTCTTATCACGCCTTTCCCACCACTACCGCGCGCCCTACTGGATTCCCCGCGGTCGCGGATGAAGGTGGTGGGGGAATTGGGGGAGTGCATCAGCACCCGCACCTCCGTCCTGCTTCGCGTGCGCCTTCCTGCCCTCATCAGTCAGCGCCGCTCGTCCACCACTTCTCCGCACGACTCCCCATACCGCCTTCCCCTCTTCCGCTTTTTCCCTCCCCACTGGTCAGGTCCGCGTCAATCCCTAACACCGGCGCAGTCGAGCCAATCAGTCCACCAACTGCCATCATCATCTATATTTACATCCAGTCTGTTCCCCATTTTCAATTAGTCGCTAGCTTCATTCATCTCAGTTGCGTGTCGACAGTGTCTAGATATTATTTATTTTATTAACGCCATGGACGCCATTGTCGCCCACTCCCGAGTTAGCTTGAATAGCTCGTTTCTTTCCCGAGCAGATGTCTCCGATGCGCCCCTCCTGTCCCGTCAAATTGCCTCCGCGCGACCATCCCTGCCGCCATTGACCCTCCCGAGAAGGCGTCTCTCTCTCCGTGCCTCAGCCGCCAGCAACGGCGCCGCGGTGTCCCCGAATGGCACTGCTCGCCCTCACAATGGCGCCTCGTTCTCACAGAGCGGCGTCGCTTCACCAGGACGGCTTGAGGGCCCGGCCACTATCCTGTGAGCCTTCTCCTGTTATTCTTTCACTTGGTCAAGATCACGAATCCTTGCGCTAACCGATCTACGGGCTCGTCAGAAAACCACCGACTTGGTCTTGGCTGTTCATCTGACAGTTTTCTTGTTCATGCAGTTGGGGAGATGGTCCCATGCCGCTGGTCGAGCCAGAAGCGGCGGAGACGGATAGGGAGGCGCCGAACAGACCGCTGTCACCGAGGTCGCCGGCGCGCAGTGAAGTGCCCGGCGTGCGACGCGTAGAGGAGGCGATTGCTGCCATCCGACGAGGAGAGGTGAGCGCGACTAGGGCGGTTGGGGGAGAGGGTTCGGGCATCAGAGAGCTAGATCGTGGACTGGGAAACGAATGCCGCGTGATTCGCAATAGGTCGTGGAAGCTGACAGCGTCTGCTTTATTCAATCCAAGTCATGTACCTGTGCTCCCCTGTGCTCGTGTATAACTGCGCGAACAGTAGTTGATCCACGATCTCATATTGATTTCGTTCGGTGACCATCCTCGCATGGTCGCAGATTGTGGTGGTGGTGGACGAACACGCGCGGGGAGTCGCCGATCTCATCATGCCCGCGTCGCTCGCTACGGCGGAGCGCATGGCCTTCATGGTGCGCCACGGCAGCGGCATCGTCTCCGCCGCCGCGTCCCCCGCCGTGCTCGACCGCCTTGCCATCCCGCCCATGCTGGCGGGCGCCGAAGGCGGCGCGAAGAACGGCTCCGCATCCTCCGTATCGGTGGTGAGTCCATGACCCCCACAGTGCCATTCCCAGGGTAGTGAAGTAACCAGACTAGCACACAAGCCCACCTCTCCCTCGTTTATCCAAGCACCAGTTCTGCGTATGCAAACCCGTCCTTCTCCGTCCCCGTCTGCATCGACCGGCCCAGCTTGCAAAGCTGTCCTCGGTTTACCGCCGTTTCTGCCCTTTCCCGTCTGGCTCTCCATTCGACACTTCAAAGCCACTTAATCGTCACTGCCCTCCGCACTCTCCTCCCTCTCCCCCTCCCCCAGGACGTGGCGGTGGGTACCACAACGGGCATCTCAGCGGCGGACAGGGCGCGCACGCTCAGGGCCCTCGCGGACGCGCGCTCGCTGCCCGCGGACTTCTGCCGCCCGGGCCATGTCTTTCCGCTCCGCGCGCACCCAGGCGGAGTGCTGCGCCAAGCTTCCCGCGTGGAGGCTGCGGCGGACATGGCGGTGCTGGCGGGGCTGCCGCCCGTGACAGCTGTCACGGAGCTGCTCAATGATGATGGCTCGCTGCCTGATGCCGCCCAGACGCAGCACTTCGCCGCCCAGAATGCGCTCACGTTGATCTCCATCCAGGACATCGTCAGGTGAGGCCCCTCACATCCCTTGCCTTCCCACGTGCACGGGCATGCCATGCCGTCCCACATTCCTTGCCTAGCCACAGTGCCATGCCATGCCGTGCCCCATTATCATGCCCTCCATGCCCTGGAGGAATCTAAGTGTACGAAGTCACCCAGTCATGCATCCCCCTCCGCCGCCTGCTCTGATGGTTCTTGCTCCAAGTCCTCACGCTCACCCTCCCCTTCCCCCACCACCCTTCTCCCCGCCCCTCGCCAGGCACCGGCGGCTGGTGGAGCGTACAGTGCGGCGTACAGCACTGGCGCGGCTGCCCACGGAGTGGGGCACGTTTGACATCGTGAGCTACATCAGCGATGTGGATGGCGTCGAGCATGTTGTCATGGTCAAGGTATGTATCTCCCTCCTTCCCTGCCCCCCCACTCCTTCTCTCCACCAATGATCCGACCCTCCATCTCTTATGTGGCCAGTTTGTTGAATGACTTAGTTGACTAGCACAGCTAAACCGGCATCTCCTCTCCTTCCTCTCTCTCTCTCCCCTCTCACTTCCCAGGGCGACATCTCATCAGGCGAGGACGTGATGGTGCGAGTGCACAGCGAGTGCCTCACGGGTGACATTTTTGCATCCGCCCGCTGCGACTGCGGTCCCCAGCTGCAGCAGGCACTGCGCCGCATTGAAGCCAAGGGGCGCGGCGTGTGCATCTACCTACGTGGGCAGGAGGGCCGGGGGATAGGGCTAGGCCACAAGCTACAGGCATATAACCTGCAGGACATGGGGCGGGATACAGTGCAGGCGAATCTGGATCTGGGCATGCCGGCTGATGCCAGAGAGTACAGTGCTGCGGCGCATATTCTGAGAGATCTGGGCGTGCGGTCGCTGCAGCTGATGACGAACAACCCTGCGAAGCTGACAGCGATCAGTGAACTAGGGTTTGCTGTCACGGGACGCGTGCCAGTGCTCTGCCCCATCAATATGGTGAGTTGCCCTGCCTCCCTTGTACTCTATTGCTTCCTTCTTGTCATCTGGCTCTCAGCCTTCCCTCTGCTTCCCCCTCACCCGCATTTCCACTTGAGTGGTGCCTCCCATGTTCATCTCACCTCATTTGTCCAATGACCTACACGCTCACAACATTTCCATTTTCTGTGTATCCCTCTGCTATGGCAGGAGAATCGGAGATATCTGGAGACAAAGCGCGCCAAGATGGGCCACCTGTATGATGCTACGTTGGCACAGCCCATCAGCGGCGGCTGGGAGGCACGAGGGGAGGATGCAGAGGAGGCGGAAGAGGTGGAGAGAAGAGTGTAGCTGGGCTAAGTGGGATGACTTAGTAATCATAGGTGTAGATCAAGCTGCTCTCTTCATTGTTGAAGTCTGTGATTGTGAATATGCTTGCCATTCATGCATTGTTGAATGTGCATTGTGATTAGCCAGCTCACAAGAATGTCACTACCACCATTTATCAGGCGATATCTGGGTACTAAGAAGCTTTCTACCCTAAAAGTTTCAGAAGCCACATTTGTACGACACTATTCTACTGAAAACTGCCAAACATCTTTGGCACACTTTTGTACAATTCTCTATGCTGCTGTACATACCATACCATGATCAACTTCTCTGACTGCTTGTGACAGCTATATTGAAGATAGCAAAACAAAGTTCCTTGCCAAGTTGTACCATCCTAACAATAACGGAATTGTGTGCTTTACTTCCCCTCTCCAATGAGAACCGTAATGTGCAGTACAACACAGAGCATGCAGCTAGTCATTACACATGTTGCTGTCAGCCTACACCACACCCAGATCTGGCGGCTGCTGCAGCTCACACCAAAAGCACGGGTCAGAGCAGTAATCCAAGCATCCAAGTGCCCAACCAGTCCTCCCTCTCTTCACCATGTCATTCCTCCTCCCACGAATGCTACGGTATCTCCCAGACGGCATGATAGCTTTTCTGACACGCCCACCCACTCCAGGCCACTTCATCCCACACCTTGTTTCACATGGCAGTAAAACCCTACAGCATGCTACAATCTGACCACCGCCTGCTGCAACATCACCCATATTGAGCGTCTGCCAGGGTGGTTATCCACCCCTGCTCCTCCAATGGATGCGTCACCTTCAATCTGCTTCTCCCTACCCACACTCCACCCATACCACTCTTCCTGTCTCCCCAATCCACCCTCCCCGCTGCACCCACCTCCAACCCCTTTTCATCCCTGAATACCCCTGACACCCACACCTGCACCCCTCGCCCCACCATCCCCATCCTCTCCCCCCCATTCCACTGCTCCCTCACGAGTGAATCGGCTTCCCATGGGCGGCCAAAGCAGCCTCTTTAACGGCTTCAGTCAGCGTGGGGTGAGCATGGCACGTGCGAGCTAGATCCAGCGTCGTCGCACCATGCTCCATAGCCAAAACACACTCCATGATCAGTTCTCCTGCGCTCGGCCCCAGTATATGCGCCCCCAGCACCAGATCCGTCTCCTTATCCGCTAGAATCTTCACAAACCCCTCCACCTCCCCCATCGCCCGCGCCCGGCTGTTCGCTTTAAAGGGGAATTTACCCACCGTGTACTCCATCCCCGTAGCCTGCAGCTCCTCCTCGGTCATACCCAGCATCGCCACTTCCGGGTGCGTGTAGATAATCCCGGGCACCGTTGCATAATTCACCTGCCCGTGCCCGTTCATAATGTTTTCCACGCACGCAATAGCATCCTCCTCCGCCTTATGCGCGAGCATGGGACCTGGAATCACATCCCCGATGGCATACACATTCCGCCGTGTGCTCCTGAAATGGCTATCCACGAATATCCGTCCGTTCATGTCTCGTTTCACGCCCACCTCGTCTAGCCCTAGCCCGTTCGTGCAGGGGACTCGTCCTGCCGCCACCATCACCACGTCAGCGTGAACCTCCCGCGTCTCGCCCTCCCCTTTCGCCGGCGCTACCTGCAGCACCACGCCTTCGCCTGACGCGTCCCCGCGCACCACCTTGGTCCCCAGGAGGAATTTCAACCCCTGGGATTCGAGAATGCGGTGGTACGCCTGCCGGATCTCGTTATCCATGTACCCGCCAATGCCATCCGCGAATTCCAGTATAGTCACGTCTGCGCCCAGGCGACTCCATACGGACCCCATTTCGAGTCCGATCACTCCGCCGCCCACCACCAGCATCTTTTCCGGTACCTTCTCAAGGCACATCGCGCCAGTTGAAGATACGATTTTGTTCTCGTCAATCGGGACCCCGGGCACCTGCCGAATGTCCGAGCCCGTGGCGATGATGATATTCTTCGCCGAGAGGACTTTTTTAGCCTGCCCGACCTGCCCGTGCGCGTCTAGCAGGCTCACGGTGACCTCGTGGGTGCCCGTGATGCGCCCCGCGCCCTTGACGTAGTTAACGCGGTGCTGCTCGAACATGCGCTCGACGCCCGAGGTTAGGCTTTCTATGGCGTCCGCTTTTAGCGCCATCATCGCCGCTAGGTCCACTGTTACGCCGTCCACCCGCACGCCGTGCTGCGCTAAAGAGTGCTTCGCTTCGTAGAACTTGCGCGAGGACTCCAGCAGGGACTGGGGGGAGGGAAGGGGGAAGGGGGTAGGGGGAAGGGGGGGTTGAGGGGCGTGTGTGGGGGAATCGACGGAGCTGGGGCGAGGGGGGTGTGGGGGGGGGCGGAAGAGTGCTGTTTGGTTGCTGTGGGTTACGTTGCGGTTTTTTCTAACAGATTTTTTACGTGCGTGGGTTGAATCAAGTGTGAGCACTCACGTCCTCTACGTTAATATCCAGTACTTGTCAACGCTTCCCGCGCCAAAACCACGCAATCTCATCACAGCACATACAACTAACAACGAGTCACACCTTAGAGGGGATGCATCCGACGTTGAAGCACGTGCCTCCGAGCCGCCCTCGCTTCTCAACGCACGTCACCTTCAGCCCCACCTGCGCCGCGCGGATCGCCGCCGCGTACCCGCCGGGTCCGCCGCCAATGATCACCACGTCATTCTCCTCGCGGCCGCCGCCATCGCCGTCCGACGAATACCACCGCTGCGCGCCGAACCAGGAAGATCTGGCTAGATTCGCCGCGATGTGCGGCGGTTGTGTATGGCAGCAGGCGGTGATGCTATCGACAAGGCTAGGAGGAGACGAAACCCTAAAAAGTGCGTCGACGAGCGGCAACCCGCGCCTGCGTGCTGCTCTGCAGGCTAAACGCGAATACATGGCGCGCAGCCAGCGTGTCGGGGAACGCTGGCGGGCCCGGGGTAAGTGGAGAGAGAAGATGTCGGTGCTGGCGAGCAAGCTGCGAGAAAGCTCTGAGAGGCTTCACTTAAGAGGAGATTATGGTGAGAGAACACAGCCGCGCTGTGCTAGGCCGCTCGAAGACGACACCAATGGATCAGGCATAAGTGCCGGAAAAACAATAAGCGCTGGAGTAGAAATGTATCAGGCGACTGGACTGCGTGCGACGGAGGCGGCCTTGAGATGGTCGACAAAAGGGAGATTCGACATGACGGAGGAGGGACGCCGAAATGACGCAGACGAGGGGAGGACGGAGGGCCATGTCACGCTGATGCGGTCCCGAGGAAGATTGACAGGGACCACTCCGCCACGTAGATACAGTAACACCCAAGATATTATTTCAATAGAAGAGGTGTGCAGGAGAGAATCGTACATCGATGGTAAATTAAATCTATATAATAAAGTAAAATTTCACTTACAAATGAATATAGGAGCAACTGTGCATCATTTTGCATACGGTAATCAGGGCTCAAACTTCTTATCATACAATTCATATCACACCTCCATTCTCCAATCGCACATGCCCATTGGCCCGCCTCCTTACTCATTCCTTGCCATACCTCAACTTTCCTCTCCATGCAACCCCACATCCTCACCTTTGCTAATCTCAATCTCTCCATCTTCTCCCTCTGCAGCTTCCGCCTCTGCGCCTTGTTGACTTTCCTTGGTCTCTTCCTCTCTTCCCAACCTGTCTCCTTTTCTTAAATTTTCCTCCCTTGCACCATTCCTCATCGTCCCACTCCCTCCTAAGTCAGGCACCAGCATTGCAGGTGCAGCAGAAACGTTGAGTGACCGTCGCAGGCACCCTAACAGTCTCGTGATTGGCCGGGGTGAAGCACGGGATACCCATCTGGTCGGCTATTTTGTCCCGCAGCTGCGCCATCTTGGCACGCTCGCCATGCACCAGGATGACGTGGCGCGGCGCCAGGTGGCGGATAAGATCGGTGATGCCCTTGGCATCGGTGTGTGGGGAGAAAGAGAGCACATGCACCTGCCGAAAAGGAGGGATTATTTTGGGCACAGGTTTCAGAATCTGGGTGTGGTCCCGGTAATGCAAATGCTTGCTATGCACATCCCATTAATGAAAATGGGAGACCACCTGTCCAATACTGCTACTGCAGCATAGCCATGGACTCATGGCAACCCTAAATATCCTGACAACACACCTGACAGTTGACTGCCACTTGCGTGCTCTGGTCGATGGCTACCCTCCCTCCCCCTCCTCCTCCTCGTCCTCCATCCCCACCACCCCCACCACCAGCGGCGGCGGCGGCATTGGCGGAGGCCATGGCCATGATCTTGCCGCCCACCGTGCCGGCCATGCAGAACCTGGGAGGGAGAGAAGAGGGAAGGTCCTGGATCTAGCATGGGGCAGACGGCCTTGCTTCGGTGGCTGAAGGGTGCCCCCATCTCCACTCTGCACGTGTATGGCGTGGCTAAGGGCATTGCCAAGTGAGTGAGGGGCGGATGTGGTCGAGTAGCGAGAGCGAAGAAGGTTCTGGAGAGTGGATTCCACAGGCTCTATTCCTTGTAGCAGGAGGCACAGGGCCTTACTTCCTCGCTGGCCCAAGGGCGCCCGCATCTCCACTCTGCACGTATCTGGCGTGACCAAGGGCATTGCCAAGTGAGTGCTGATGTGAGACTGGGTTGAGTCGAGAGAGACGCAGGGGTTTTAGAAGGTGAGTGGCACGGGTTCAATTGCAGCGGCCCGGTGGAGCTCGACAAGGCAGAGCTCGCCGTTGAAGTTTCTGAATGGACTCATCTCCCAGATATCCTCTCCCAGATCTCATCTCCCGGATATCCTCTCCCGGATATCCCCTCCCGGATATCCCCTCCCGCATATCCCCTCCCGCATATCCCCTCCTGCATATCCCCTCCAGCATATCCCCTCCCGGATATCCCCTCCCGGATATCCCCTCCCGCATATCCCCTCCCGCATATCCCCTCCCGGATATCCCCTCCCGGATATCCCCTCCCGCATATCCCCTCCCGCATATCCCCTCCTGCATATCCCCTCCAGCATATCCCCTCCCGGATATCCCCTCCCGGATATCCCCTCCCGCATATCCCCTCCCGCATATCCCCTCCTGCATATCCCCTCCAGCATATCCCCTCCCGGATATCCCCTCCCGGATATCCCCTCCCGCATATCCCCTCCCGCATATCCCCTCCCGGATATCCCCTCCCGGATATCCCCTCCTGCATATCCCCTCCAGCATATCCCCTCCCGCATATCCTCTCCCAGATCTCATCTCCCGGATATCCTCTCCCGGATATCCTCTGCCGGATATCCTCTCACCCCGGATAAAGTGGATACACCCCAGCCATGCACACCCACTCACCCGGGCAGCACGAGCAGGTTGCGGGGGTGGGGCGCCCAGGCCTTGAAGGCGTGCAGGGAGAGCCCCCCTGAGAGCATGCCAGGCGTGGCAAACAGCACCATGGGCGATGGCGCGTCCAGTAGCACCCGGTCGAATGGCCGCACTGGAAGCAGAGAGGTGCATGTGAAAGAGAGCGAACGGGTCGAGGGGAGGGAGGAGGAGGATGGGGGAGGTGGGCGTTTAGGGCGAAAAAAGTGCAGGTGCAGAGTGCTTTTACCCTGTGCTGGAGCATACAGGGGAACTTGTGTCTTGTGGAGCTTGTGGAGATGCTTGCAATGGGAGCACTGACAGGTGACTTGCTGCAGCATGCACAGCATGAAATTTGGCATGGAATGGCATGGTGTGGCATGATGGCATGTACCATGGCGAAAGTCAAAGTTGTTGCGGTTGGCATGGGCTGACTGGATGTGCTGATTGGTCCACGTCAGCAGAGTCTTGTAGAACACTGTGGCCTGGGAGGTCAGGCCTGGAAGGAGGGGAGAGGCAGTGGTGGGGCGGAGAGGGAGTGAGGAGGGATGGAGGAGGTGGGCAGACGGGAAGAGGCGAGGGGGAGGAAGGGAGTTGAAGTAGGAGTAGCAGAGTGAAAGAGCGTAGGAGGGGCGAGGCGGAAGCACAAACACACACAAACACAGCTAGCGGCAACCGTGGCTGTAGCTGGCGGCGGCGGGCTGCAGCTGCTAATGCGGTAGGCTGCAGCAATGGGCCAGAGCATGGGCGGCAGGCCAGAGCAGCGGGCGGCTTGCAGGCGGCAGGCTGCAGCAGCGAGCGACCCGCTGCAGCGTGCGGGCGGCAATCGTTGGCACCAGTGGCGACCGCGAACTGCAGCTGCCGGATAGCTAGCGTGCTGGGGGCCTACAGGGCGTGGGGCGAGGCGCGCCCGGACCAAGGCGCGCGCCCCGACCAAGGCGCGCGCCCGGACCAAGTCGCGCGCCCGGACCAAGGCGCGCGCCCGGACCAAGGCGCGCGCCCGGACCAAGGCGCGCGCCCGGACCAAGGCGCGCGCCCGGACCAAGGCGCGCGCCCGGACCAAGGCGCGCGCCCGGACCAAGGCGCGCGCCCGGACCAAGGCGCGCGCCCGGACCAAGGCGCGCGCCCGGACCAAGGCGCGCGCCCGGACCAAGTCGCGCGCCCGGACCAAGTCGCGCGCCCGGACCAAGGCGCGCGCCCGGACCAAGGCGCGCGCCCGGACCAAGGCGCGCGCCCGGACCAAGGCGCGCGCCCGGACCAAGGCGCGCGCCCGGACCAAGGCGCGCGCCCGGACCAAGTCGCGCGCCCGGACCAAGTCGCGCGCCCGGACCAAGTCGCGCGCCCGGACCAAGTCGCGCGCCCGGACCAAGTCGCGCGCCCGGACCAAGGCGCGCGCCCGAACCAAGGCGCGCGCCCCCGGACCAAGGCGCGCCCCCGGACCAAGGCGCGCCCCCGGACCAAGGCGCGCCCCCGGACCAAGGCGCGCCCCCGGACCAAGGCGCGCCCCCGGACCAAGGCGCGCCCCCGGACCAAGGCGCGCCCCCGGACCAAGGCGCGCCCCCGGACCAAGGCGCGCCCCCGGACCAAGGCGCGCGCCCGGAGCAAGGCGCGCGCCCGGAGCAAGGCGCGCGCCCGGAGCAAGGCGCGCGCCCGGACCAAGGCGCGCGCCCGGACCAAGGCGCGCGCCCGGACCAAGGCGCGCGCCCGGACCAAGTCGCGCGCCCGGACCAAGTCGCGCGCCCGGAGCAAGTCGCGCGCCCGGAGCAAGGCGCGCGCCCGGAGCAAGGCGCGCGCCCGGAGCAAGGCGCGCGCCCGGAGCAAGGCGCGCGCCCGGACCAAGGCGCGCGCCCGGACCAAGGCGCGCGCCCGGACCAAGTCGCGCGCCCGGACCAAGGCGCGCGCCCGGACCAAGGCGCGCGCCCGGACCAAGGCGCGCGCCCGGACCAAGGCGCGCGCCCGGACCAAGGCGCGCGCCCGGACCAAGGCGGTCGCGCGCCCGGACCAGGGCGCGCGCCCGGACCAAGGCGCGCGCCCGGACCAAGGCGCGCGCCCGGACCAAGGCGCGCGCCCGGACCAAGTCGCGCGCCCGGACCAAGTCGCGCGCCCGGACCAAGTCGCGCGCCCGGACCAAGGCGCGCGCCCGGACCAAGGCGCGCGCCCGGACCAAGGCGCGCGCCCGTACCAAGGCGCGCGCCCGGACCAAGGCGCGCGCCCGGACCAAGGCGCGCGCCCGGACCAAGGCGCGCGCCCGGACCAAGGCGCGCGCCCGGACCAAGTCGCGCGCCCGGACCAAGGCGCGCGCCCGGACCAAGGCGCGCGCCCGGACCAAGGCGCGCGCCCGGACCAAGGCGCGCGCCCGGACCAAGGCGCGCGCCCGGACCAAGGCGCGCGCCCGGACCAAGGCGCGCGCCCGGACCAAGGCGCGCGCCCGGACCAAGGCGCGCGCCCGGACCAAGTCGCGCGCCCGGACCAAGGCGCGCGCCCGGACCAAGGCGCGCGCCCGGACCAAGGCGCGCGCCCGGACCAAGTCGCGCGCCCGGACCAAGGCGCGCGCCCGGACCAAGTCGCGCGCCCGGACCAAGTCGCGCGCCCGGACCAAGGCGCGCGCCCGGACCAAGGCGCGCGCCCGGACCAAGGCGCGCGCCAGGACCAAGGCGCGCGCCCGGACCAAGGCGCGCGCCCGGACCAAGTCGCGCGCCCGGACCAAGGCGCGCGCCAGGACCAAGGCGCGCGCCCGGACCAAGGCGCGCGCCCGGACCAAGGCGCGCGCCCGGACCAAGGCGCGCGCCCGGACCAAGGCGCGCGCCCGGACCAAGTCGCGCGCCCGGACCAAGTCGCGCGCCCGGACCAAGTCGCGCGCCCGGACCAAGTCGCGCGCCCGGACCAAGGCGCGCGCCCGGACCAAGGCGCGCGCCCGGACCAAGGCGCGCGCCCGGAGCAAGGCGCGCGCCCGGAGCAAGGCGCGCGCCCGGAGCAAGGCGCGCGCCCGGAGCAAGGCGCGCGCCCGGAGCAAGGCGCGCGCCCGGACCAAGGCGCGCGCCCGGACCAAGTCGCGCGCCCGGACCAAGGCGCGCGCCCGGACCAAGGCGCGCGCCCGGACCAAGGCGCGCGCCCGGACCAAGGCGCGCGCCCGGACCAAGGCGCGCGCCCGGACCAAGGCGCGCGCCCGGACCAAGGCGCGCGCCCGGACCAAGGCGCGCGCCCGGACCAAGGCGCGCGCCCGGACCAAGTCGCGCGCCCGGACCAAGGCGCGCGCCCGGACCAAGGCGCGCGCCCGGACCAAGGCGCGCGCCCGGACCAAGGCGCGCGCCCGGACCAAGGCGCGCGCCCGGACCAAGGCGCGCGCCCGGACCAAGGCGCGCGCCCGGACCAAGTCGCGCGCCCGGACCAAGTCGCGCGCCCGGACCAAGTCGCGCGCCCGGACCAAGGCGCGCGCCCGGACCAAGGCGCGCGCCCGGACCAAGGCGCGCGCCCGGACCAAGGCGCGCGCCCGGACCAAGGCGCGCGCCCGGAGCAAGGCGCGCGCCCGGACCAAGGCGCGCGCCCGGAGCAAGGCGCGCGCCCGGACCAAGGCGCGCGCCCGGAGCAAGGCGCGCGCCCGGACCAAGGCGCGCGCCCGGACCAAGGCGCGCGCCCGGACCAAGGCGCGCGCCCGGACCAAGGCGCGCGCCCGGACCAAGTCGCGCGCCCGGACCAAGTCGCGCGCCCGGACCAAGGCGCGCGCCCGGACCAAGGCGCGCGCCCGGACCAAGTCGCGCGCCCGGACCAAGGCGCGCGCCCGGACCAAGTCGCGCGCCCGGACCAAGGCGCGCGCCCGGACCAAGGCGCGCGCCCGGACCAAGGCGCGCGCCCGGACCAAGTCGCGCGCGCCCGGACCAAGGCGCGCGCCCGGACCAAGTCGCGCGCCCGGACCAAGTCGCGCGCCCGGACCAAGGCGCGCGCCCGGACCAAGGCGCGCGCCCGGACCAAGGCGCGCGCCAGGACCAAGGCGCGCGCCCGGACCAAGGCGCGCGCCCGGACCAAGGCGCGCGCCCGGACCAAGGCGCGCGCCAGGACCAAGGCGCGCGCCCGGACCAAGGCGCGCGCCCGGACCAAGGCGCGCGCCCGGACCAAGGCGCGCGCCCGGACCAAGGCGCGCGCCCGGACCAAGTCGCGCGCCCGGACCAAGTCGCGCGCCCGGACCAAGTCGCGCGCCCGGACCAAGTCGCGCGCCCGGACCAAGGCGCGCGCCCGGACCAAGGCGCGCGCCCGGACCAAGGCGCGCGCCCGGAGCAAGGCGCGCGCCCGGAGCAAGGCGCGCGCCCGGAGCAAGGCGCGCGCCCGGAGCAAGGCGCGCGCCCGGAGCAAGGCGCGCGCCCGGACCAAGGCGCGCGCCCGGACCAAGGCGCGCGCCCGGACCAAGGCGCGCGCCCGGACCAAGGCGCGCGCCCGGACCAAGGCGCGCGCCCGGACCAAGGCGCGCGCCCGGACCAAGGCGCGCGCCCGGACCAAGGCGCGCGCCCGGACCAAGGCGCGCGCCCGGACCAAGGCGCGCGCCCGGACCAAGGCGCGCGCCCGGACCAAGGCGCGCGCCCGGACCAAGGCGCGCGCCCGGACCAAGGCGCGCGCCCGGACCAAGGCGCGCGCCCGGACCAAGGCGCGCGCCCGGACCAAGGCGCGCGCCCGGACCAAGGCGCGCGCCCGGACCAAGGCGCGCGCCCGGACCAAGTCGCGCGCCCGGACCAAGTCGCGCGCCCGGACCAAGTCGCGCGCCCGGACCAAGGCGCGCGCCCGGACCAAGGCGCGCGCCCGGACCAAGGCGCGCGCCCGGACCAAGGCGCGCGCCCGGACCAAGGCGCGCGCCCGGACCAAGGCGCGCGCCCGGAGCAAGGCGCGCGCCCGGACCAAGGCGCGCGCCCGGAGCAAGGCGCGCGCCCGGACCAAGGCGCGCGCCCGGACCAAGGCGCGCGCCCGGACCAAGGCGCGCGCCCGGACCAAGGCGCGCGCCCGGACCAAGGCGCGCGCCCGGACCAAGTCGCGCGCCCGGACCAAGTCGCGCGCCCGGACCAAGGCGCGCGCCCGGACCAAGGCGCGCGCCCGGACCAAGGCGCGCGCCCGGACCAAGGCGCGCGCCCGGACCAAGGCGCGCGCCCGGACCAAGGCGCGCGCCCGGACCAAGTCGCGCGCCCGGACCAAGGCGCGCGCCCGGACCAAGGCGCGCGCCCGGACCAAGGCGCGCGCCCGGACCAAGGCGCGCGCCCGGACCAAGGCGCGCGCCCGGACCAAGTCGCGCGCCCGCGCGCCCGGACCAAGTCGCGCGCCCGGACCAAGGCGCGCGCCCGGACCAAGTCGCGCGCCCGGACCAAGTCGCGCGCCCGGACCAAGTCGCGTGCCCGGACCAAGTCGCGCGCCCGGACCAAGTCGCGCGCCCGGACCAAGTCGCGCGCCCGGACCAAGGCGCGCGCCCGGACCAAGGCGCGCGCCCGGACCAAGGCGCGCGCCCGGACCAAGGCGCGCGCCCGGACCAAGGCGCGCGCCCGGACCAAGTCGCGCGCCCGGACCAAGGCGCGCGCCCGGACCAAGGCGCGCGCCCGGACCAAGGCGCGCGCCCGGACCAAGTCGCGCGCCCGGACCAAGGCGCGCGCCCGGACCAAGGCGCGCGCCCGGACCAAGGCGCGCGCCCGGACCAAGGCGCGCGCCCGGACCAAATCGCGCGCCCGGACCAAGGCGCGCGCCCGGACCAAGTCGCGCGCCTAGACCAAGTCGCGCGCCTGTACCAAATCGTGCGAATGTGCTTGTGCACAATCCTTCCCTAGACATACCACATATCGCATTCACGCGAGCGCCGAGGGAGAAGGGGGTGCAATCCATAACAGTGCGTACCAGCACTGAGGTAGATAGGTACGTCGAGCCCCATGCGGTGCCAGTACTCGTCCAGCAACACACACAGCTCCTGCGCTCGCCCCATGGCAAACACGGGGATGAGCACCTTGCCCCCCGCTGCGACGCATGCCTGCACGCGTGAAAGGAAGTCCGCTTCTCGGCTGCGCCGGGACTCACGGATGGTCGTGGCATAGGTAGACCTGGTGGGAGGTGGGAGGGGGAGAAGAGGGGAGAGAGAAGAGGAGGAAGAGGAGGGGAGGAGCGGGAAGAGCGGAGGGGGAGGAGGAGGGGAGGAGGTTAAGAAGGGGGCAGAGGAGAGGAAGAGTTGCTTTCTTGTCCCAATGAGAGAGTTGGGCATTGATGGGTCAATGATGACGCCCACATGGCATGGCAAGCACAGGAACACAGGGCGTGGTGTGGGAACCACTGTGACATGGTGGCATGGTGGCATGGCGGTGAGGTGCTCACTCGGAAATCATGAGGTGCTCACTCGGAAATCATGAGGTGCTCACTCGGAAATCATGAGGTGCTCACTCGGAAATCATGAGGTGCTCACTCGGAAATCATGAGGTGCTCACTCGGAAATCATGAGGTGCTCACTCGGAAATCATGAGGTGCTCACTCGGAAATCATGAGGTGCTCACTCGGAAATCATGAGGTGCTCACTCGGAGATCATGAGGTCGGGCCGAAGGCGCGGATCCACCCTCGCTGCTCCCAGGTGCCTGTCAGGTGCCATGTTGAAATCACCTGAGGGGTGCCATGTTCAAACCACCTGAGGGGCGCTGTGTTAAAATCACCTGAGATGGCTATGCTGAAATCATGTGAGAAGAATAAGCAATGGCTTATTCGAAAGGTATGAGCCATAGAGCAGGATGACATGACAATGCGAGAAAGACTGTGCAATTTACCGCCTGATGCACGCGGCAGACTGTGCAACCACGCTACCACGCTGCCGTGCTGCCGTGCTGCCACGCTGCCACGCTGCCGTGCTGCCGTGCTGCCGTGGTGCCATCCATGATGACCTCACCTGTGTAGAGAACAGATGCTCCGTTGCTCGCTTGCACGTGGAACATGGCTGCTCCTAGTACCTGGTGCCATGCCATGTGGCACGGGAGAGGAGGGGCACGTGGCGGAAGATTAGTGTGTGCCATGTCACGTGGCATCAAGGGGACCAACAGCACAGCACATGCTGCCAGCACAGTTCCAGTAATGATTGCACTGCGCGCATCCATGCATCCATGCATCCATGCACGCAGCACTACATGCCATTCCACGCAACCCGGCATGCACCATGCCATGGCATTCCACGCACCATGCCATGCCATGCCATGGCACGCCCTGCGTTTGCACTGACATGGCCGGCATAGTAGGGAGTGATGGTGATGTGCTCGTTCACTTGAATGCTCTCATGGATGTCCACTGGGATCGCTGCACAGATTGCATGGGGGAACACGGGGGAGCACAGGACACGGGGAACACGGGGGAGCACAGGAGAAAAATCATCATCAATTCCGAATGCGAGAAACACGGGGGAAATGCGAGGAGAGACTTATGAGCGAGGGGATGGGATGGTGCCATGGTTGATGGCTGGTGAGGGATTAACCCCCTCACTTTTCCCCACCACTCTTCCTCCCCCTCTCCCTCTCCCCTCCCTCACCTCGTCCAACGACCGCACTGATATCCGCACTCGCCCCTCCTCGCACTCGCCCCTCCTCGCACTCGCCCCTCCTCGCACTCGCCCCTCCTCCCTACCTTCCTTAATGCACCCACAGCTGCCCCACACTTTGGCGTCCCCCCAATCCCTCCCCTCTCTTCCCCCTTTCTCACCTCGCCCCACGGCCGCGCTGATATCCGCACTGGAGAACAGCCCCTCCTCGCCCTCGCCCCTCCTCTCCACCGCCACGCGCCGATAGTCCTCCAGCATCAAAGGGGCCAGCGCCTTGGTGGGGTACTGGTGGGTGGGGAGTGGTTGAACGTGGAGTGAGGGAGAGACAGGGAAGCACATGGAAGTGATGGAATCCGATGGGGCTGGGAGGGCAGCGCATGCAGCACAGCACAGTGGGGAGAGCAATATAGGAGAGAGGAAGGGCACTGACCATCATGTAGACGGGCCCCTGGTAGCCGCACACTTGCGTGAAGTAGGGCAGCGCGCCGCAGTGGTCCAGATGGCTGCTCGCAACAGGTAGCGGGGAAGTGAGGCGGGAGGGGAAGTGAGGCGGGAGTGGAAGTGAGGCGGGAGTGGAAGCCGCGAGTAGTTAGTCGATTTTTGAGTCGACTCAAAAATCGACTAACTACACGGGGGGGATGTTTTGTGCGGTATGGTGCGGGTGGTTGTGACGTGCAAAGGGGTATCTCTGGGAAGCGTTCAAGCGTCGTTGCAATCGATGAAGGTAGAGGTGTAGGCGGGAAGGGCGGCGCACAAGTGGGTAATGATGACGCAGTCGATGATCCCCGTGTACTCCACCGCACTGCCCCGCCCATCCCCTTCCCCATGTGCTTGCCCATGCCCTTGGCTTTGCCCTTGCCCGTGCCCTTGCCCGTGATGGGAGTGGTGGGCAAAGGCGCGCAGGCGGGGAAAGGCGGGGAAGCGGCGGGCGTCCTGGTAGCCCATGTGCATGCCGCAGTCGAACATGACCACTCTGCCTCCCACGCGCACCACCACACAGCTCTTCCCCACGTCCTGCCCCGCTCCTGGTGGGGTGGCATTGGAAAGAAAGGGAAGGAGGAAGATGCAGTGGGGAAAGGAAACACTTCGAGGTGGGGAAGGCGGGGAAGCGGCGCGCGTCCTGGTACCCCATGTGCATGCCACAGTTGAACATCACCGCCCTGCCGCCCACGCGCACCACCACACAGCTCTTCCCCACGTCCTGCCCCGCGCCTGGCGGCACAATGCGGAAAACAGGCACAAGCAACACAAGGGGTGGCCCAAGCAATACGCAGTAGAATGCAGAGAGGGAGAGCGGTGCTTTTGAGGCGCCTCAAAAGAAACGGATTTTTCTTTTGAGAATTCTCAAAAGAAAAATCCTGTAGCTGTGGGCTGAGCTGAACGGAGGGAGGGGAGCACAAAGCAGAGCAAACTGGGTGCAATGCGGAGGCGAGAAGAACGGAACGGGAGAGTGAGGGCTTGCTGTGGCGTGCCGTTGAATGACTGACCCAATGGAAGGCACGTGATCTCTGCCTTGTCCTCCCCACCCACACTAGCAGCAGCCGCAGCAGAATCACCGCCCCTCCCCCCACCTCCCCCTCTACCGCGACCTCCCCCCCTCCTTCCGCCTCCCGCCCAGCCCCTGCCACCATGCTCCCACCTGCCGCCTCTCCCCCTTCCCTCCACGCCCTCCCCTCTCCCCCAGCCTCCCTCTCTGCCCCAACCTCCCCCGCTCCCCATACCGCCCCCTCTTCCCCCATCTACACCTCGCACCCCCCACACACCTCCCCCTCTCCCGCTCCCCCAATCCGCCCCTCCTCCAGCCGCTTCCCCCTCACCTGCCTCACTCCCAACCCCCCTTCCCCACTCGCCTCTTCCGCCACCGCGTCCGCCCTCCGCCTCCCCCGCGCCTCTCCCCCATTCGCCCCCTCCCTTGCGCTTCTTCCTGCCATGCCGCCCCATGCCGTCGCGGCGCTGCCACGTGTCAGCCTAATATGCGCTCCCCATGACAGCCCCCCGTCATAATCACACGAATTCCAAGTCCGCCTCGCGCGTTTGAGCTCCAATTGCGACGCCGGCCAATTCGCCCCTCCTCCTCCCCTCTCCGTCCCCCAGCCCTCCGCTGCGCCAATTCCCCTTCTTGCGCGGACGTCTGCGCTTATAGGCGATGGGCGGAAAGAGAGGCCAAGGGGGGAACTAACAGGGGGGCGCAGAAACTATATAGCGGGCGCAGGGTTTTGCGGAGTGGAGGGTTTTGAAGCGCGGAGGAGTTGCGGGTGATGGATTCGACCTCTGCGCGGTGATACGAATGTGGGGCGCAAAAAAAGAGCAATTGTGCAAAAAACGTGAATGTGAAACCAGGAAAGGGCAAAACGTCAAGAGCAACGCCGATTGTGGGGATCGAACCCACGGCCACGTGGTTAAAAGCCACGCGCTCTACCACTGAGCTAAATCGGCTGTCATGAGCGAATTCATTATATAATTAGTGTGTTTTTTGCCTAAACCCAGCCCCATCATATGCCAACACGTGCTGTTCTCTCGGCTTCAGCCATGCAACGATCGACGCGCTTCGCCCCTGCGCGACTCGCGAGTCCTCGACTCCTCCAACCAGCAATGGCCACTAATAAAGCCCCTTCATCGCGCCCCTCTCCCCCACCTGCTCCTCCTCGTCACTATCGACCGTTCCTCTCGCTCCCGTCGACCTCGTCTCGTGCCTCGCCCTCTCCACCACCAACTGTCGTCGCTCTTCTCCTCTTGTTTCTCGCCTGCTCGCTCTGCTCACTTGCTCCAGCATTTCGTGAATTCTCGAATCCGCCCCTCCTTCGCGTCACTGTCTCGAATTCGCTCCTCGTACCGCTGAACCTGCTCTCGCCCACCGGGAATAACGGCCGTGAAACGCACTGCATCGTGACCTATGGCGCTGCTGTCGGCCCCTCTCACCGCCACTCGCGGCTGCGTGCCGTGTGTGGCGCAACCACTCCCCGCCCCTCGTGCGCCTGCCCCCGCCGCATGCGCGCTCCCCTGTTCCGCGCGCCCCCTCCCCGTGAACCGCGCAACACGTCGCTCGTACGCGTTAGCAGGCTCTCCGTTAGCGGCGCGCATGCATGGGCGCGGGGGCTGGCTGAGGGGATGGCGGCGTGCGTCCGCTGCTGATGACAATAGTGCCAAGGATACAGCTGACGCGGCACGCAGTGAGGATTACAAGCCTCAAGCTGACGTGGATGATGTATCTGATGACATGGCGGAGGCGTCTGCGGCAGCAGCTGAGCTGGCAGCTGAGATGGCGGGCGAGGCTGCGGCTCAGGCTGCCAGCGTGTATGCCGCCACGGCTGCGGCTGAGGGGATGGAGGAGGAGGAAGAAGTGGGAATCGAGGAGGGGAAAGGGGAGGGCATTAAGGGGGCGGTGTCAGCTGCAGTGGGCGCTAGGGAGTCTGCTGCTGACGGTGCTCCCTCTGATGTCAAAAAGGCGAGCCAGCAGCAGCAGGAGCAGCAGCAACAGCAGCAGCAGCCGCCGCCGCCCAGTCGTCCTCTGCCACGTCAGCCTCAGGCCTCCAGCGCACCAGCTGTAGCCGGGCTGCGGCGCACGGTGTGGGGGCAGGAGGGCGTGGCGCCACAGTACCCCCCGTTACAGGAACACGTGACTGTAGACGTGGCGGTGGTGGGCGGTGGCATCAACGGGCTCAGTGTGGCATACTCTCTGCTGGATAAACACCGCAAGGGGAGGGGCGCGGGGGGAGGAGGCAAGGACTTGTCGGTGATGGTGCTTGAGGCTCGTGCCATCGGTATGGCCCACTCGTGTTGCTGTGTATCACATTGCTGTAGCACCACTGCACCGCATACCGCTCGCGTGCATGTCCGTTGCTTAAGTGCTCTCTGCTCGTGACCTTTCGTCACCTGCTCGAGCGGCAAGTGCAACCCAGCCTGCCTGATGCTGCGACTTGACATGCATCCGACTCTTTGACCTGTTGACGTGCTTCTGTGCAGGTTGGGGTCAAACCGGGCGCACCACGGCGCATCTCATGCCATGGAACGACGACTACTACAGCGTACTCGAGCGCCAGAGCATGGAAGCATGAGCTGACATGGGATTAACGCATCTCCCTCGGCACATGCCTGTGCAGGTTCGGGCCAGACGGGCCGCACGACCGCGCATCTCATGCCGTGGAACGACGACTACTACAGTGTGCTCGAGCGGCTCTTCGGGCGGCGCCGGGCGGCTCTAGTGGGCAGGAGCCACGTGGCAGCCATTGATTGGGTGGAGCGTGTGGTGCGGGAGCACGGCATAGAGTGCGAGTTTGAGCGAGTGGATGGCTACCTCTTTCCCCATGACAACTCCGATGAGGCTAACCGCAAGATGCTCGAGGTGGGTGGGCAGGGCGCATGGTTACATGCGGTTGATGGATGGGTGGTTGGCTGGCCTGTCAGCACATCTGCCTCATGGCCCAGGGAAAAAAGAAGAAGAAGAAGAAAAAAAGCCTTTATTGCTTCCTCTTATGACCCCTTTTCTTCCTCCAACTACCTAATTCCCCAATTCACCAGGAGCTGGCAGCGTGTGAGCGCATCGGCCTGTCGGACACCTCTCTGGTGGACCTGCAAGGCGACCCCGCCCTCGGCTCGCTCTCCTCTGCCCTGCGCTTCCCCAACGCTGCTGACTTCCACCCCCTCAAGTGAGTCAGCCGCCCGCGAGTAAGCACTGCTCAAGCGGTCGCCGCGCAGTTGTGTCTCTGGTCGCCACGTCGCTGAAAGGGCTGCTCACTGCCGCGCCACATCAGCCTAGGGGGGAGATATTGCATGAGCACTGCCCATGCATGCCTGCAGCACTTTCTCACGCTTCTCATGCAAATTCTCATGCATCTTCATCTTCTAATTCATGTATTTCCTCAGGGACCTGCAGGGGATAGCGAGTGCGATCACGGGCATGGGAGGGAAGATCCACGAGAACACGCGGGTGATAAGAAGAATGCATGCAAGCAACCTCTCTCTCATGCACGTCTGCCTCTCCCTCTCCATGCCTTCTTCCACAGGTACCTGCAGGGGCTCGCGAGTGCAGTCACAGCGATGGGAGGGAAGATCTACGAGAGCACACGGGTGATCCGCAACTCATCCCTCTCCACCACTCTCGAGCTCAACACGGGCGTGCGCGTGACAGCTGGCAGCGTCGTATTGGCCACCAACTCGCCCATCAACCACAACCTGGCGGTGCACGCCAGGCAGAGCGCCGACAGGACCTATGTGGTTGGGCTGGCTGTTCCCAAGGGCAGTGTGCGGTGAGTGGTTGGGAGGTGTGGAGTGTGATGCTGATAGGTCACCACTGGGCAGACAGGACTTATGTGGTGGATCTGGCCGTGCCCAAGGGCCGTGCGTGGTGATCGTTGGGAGGTGTAGTGTGCGGTGGGCCGTGGTGAAGTGAGGTGATGGTGGAGGCGCTGCGAGCTGCAGCTGCTGAGAAGAAAAGAACGGTGAGAGACAGAAAATCTGTTTACTACTTTGTCTGCCCCCCTTTTAACTATTACCTCTCACCTGCCCCCCTCTCAGCTACTTCCCTCTCACCTACCCCACACCCACCTACCCCACACCCACCTACCCCACACCCACCTACCCCACACCCACCTACCCCTCTCTCAATTTCCCGTCTCTCAACTGACTCCCTCGTAGTTGAGAGGACGGCAGGTGAGAGGTCGGGCACGTTAGAGGAGTAGTGAAGGGGGGGTAATGTCAAAGCGGGGTACGTTAGAAAAGAGCAGGCGAGAGGGAAGCAAGTAACAGGGGGCCAAGTGCAGAGGTAAAGAGGTTTGCTGCCACTCACCATACTCTCCTTCTCCGCAGCTGCAGGTCGCTGCCCCTCCTCTTGATGTTGCAAATCTGCAATTCTTGCCTGAAGGTGGTAGGAGCGATAACGAGGGCAGGTGAGGGGGGCCTTGTGAGGTGTCCCAACGTGGTTTGGCTTGCCATGCCCAAAGGCAGTGTGCAGTGAGTGGTGAAGATGTGGAGTGTGGTGGGCTGAGGTGAGGTGCGGTGATGGTGGGTAATGGTGGGGCATGGTATCTCCCTACCACGATGTGCGCATCGCCTAACAGCACGCTTACTCTCCCCTCCCTCTTCCCTCCCTCTTCCCTCCCCTTCCCCACCAGCCGCGCCCAGTGGTGGGACACAGCATCCCCCTACCACTACGTGCGCATCGCTCCGGGCCCCAGCGAGGCGGAGACAGACACGCTCATAGTAGGGGGCGAGGACCATCCCACGGGGGTGCTGTCTCCTAGGGAGTATCCGCAGGCATACGCACGGCTGGAGAAGTGGGCCAGGGCGAGGTGGACGAGCGCAGGACAAGCGGTTTTCAAGTGGACTGGCCAGGTGGGTAGGGTTCTGGGCGGCTGGGTGTTGGTGCCTGCCTAAGCAGTACCCCAAGTGATATGTGTGGCTGGAGAAGTGGGCCAGGGAAAGGAGGACGCCTGCTGGAGGGTTGATCTTTAACTGGAATGGGCAGGTGAGGACCCTCTTGGGCCCTCTTCACTTGGATTCAAACTTCCCTGCTCTCGCTCCCGGGCCTAGCTGGACAGCCGGACAGGGATTGACACGCTGGTAGTGAAGGGGGATGGGGATGCTGCCGCATCAAAATGCACCTGCTGTCTTTGCCTTCCTCCTGCTGTCCTTCTCTCTGCACTCCCCCTTGCTTCCCTTCTGCACGCTGCTGTATGAGCCAGTACGTCTCCTGAAACAACACAGCAAGAACCATCTCGTGCTGCCCTCCTGCCTCTCCCACAGCATGCCTCCGCACCGCCCTGAACCCCTCTGCACGCCAGGTGCACAAGCCAGTGGACTTCCTTGGGTTGTACGGCAAGAACCCTCTCGTGAACCGCCCATCCAAGGACGTCTACATTGTCACAGGTATCATTCCACTCTCACCAGCACGATAGGGTGAGCCACGCGTAGAAAGTGAATTCACTTTCACATCCATTGAGACGTCTCAGAAATTCACTTTCTACACACTGACCAGCATGACAGGGTGAGATGACACTCGTTTGCTCGTCCAGCATCGCACGCATAACTGCTGAAAGCGCACCCATAACTGCTGAAAGCGCACCCATAACTGCTGAAAGCGCACCCATAACTGCTGCTCCTTCCGTCCCATCCCTTACATAACTAATCTTCCACCATCCCCTCCCACGATGCTCTTCCACCATCCCATCCCATCCCATCATCCCCTCCTTGCTTTCCCCAGGCAACAGCGGGCAGGGCATGACGGGCGGCACCATATCCGGGCTCGTGGTATCAGATCTGATTCTGTCGGGGCGCAGCGAGTGGGAGGAGCTGTACGATCCGCGCCGCCTTCCTCCCCTCTCCCAGGAGACAGCTCAGAGCATAGCGAGCATCACTGCGCACACGGCTCAGGTGTGTGGAAGCATGCAGTATCACCATAAGCATGCACGCATAGCACTCGGGTGTTGGGCGCAGTGAGTGGGAGCAGCTGTACGACCCGTGGCGCCTGCTGCCGCTCTCCCCGGAGACAGCTCAGAGCATCGCTAGCATCACTGCCCACACGGCTCAGGTGTGTGGAACCATGCAGCATAACAGCACCACCACTCAGATGTCGGGGCACAGCGAGTGGGAGGAGCTCAGGTGCAAGTATCACTGCACCCACGGCCCAGGTACACAGAAGCACATACAAGATGAGGGAAGTGTGCATTCTCTACACCTTCCTCCACTATCCTTCACACCGTCCCGCACCACCGCACACCATACCAGTTCATTTTCCATCAAATCTCCACCCCCCTCCCCATGCCGTCCCACTTACCAGGGCTACGCATTCGACTTGCCGATTGTGCCGGGAGATGAGCGCTCAGCGGAGAAGGTGAAGCCGGGGGAGGGTGCTCTGGTGGCGGTGGGGCTGCACAAGCAGGCCGTGTACCGCACTGAGGGGGGCGAGCTGAAGCGATACTCAGGTGATCACACAGGGTTCCATCACCATTGGTTGAGGAGGTAGGGGGCGTCTCAAAAGCAACCACCTTTTGCGCTCTGGTGATGGTGGGGCTGCATAAGGAGGTAGTGTACCGCACTGAGGGGGGCGAGCTGAAGTGATATTCAGGTGAAAACCCAGGTTGAAAGATTGGACTTGCCTTCGGTGCAGCATGAGTTACTAGAGAAGCTGACACACACACCCGCTGAATCACAATGCTTGCTTTGAGATATTGCAAACGGTGATGCTTCTGCTGACTCTTCACCCTGCTCCTCCTCTCCCTCCCCTCCCACGTCCCTTTCCTCTCGCCAGCCATCTGCCCGCACCTCAAGTGCGCGGTCAGGTGGAACCCCAACGACAAAACTTTCGACTGCCCATGCCACGGCTCCCAGTATGACATGTCGGGGCGGGTGATTCAGGGCCCGGCCAAGGCCAACCTCTCCCCTGTCTCCGGTGACAGCTGCTGTGGCTGAAGAGGTGGAAATCCAGTTGCTGAGGTTGTGAATGTGGGGAGAGATAGGCTGTGATAGCTGGAGCTGTAGAGATGAAGTCCTGATTGTAGATTGCACCTGCTGTACATTTTTAAGAAACGTATCTTGTTAGTAAGACAGGTATTGTTACAGCTGTTGTGGGAACAATATTACCTACCTGTTAATACAGGGTACAAACCCAACTAGGGTTAGCTACTTGTACCCAACTGTTTCTTTCAATGCATCATTCTTACGCTAGTATTCTGAGATGGTATTCAGAGCAGGTGGTCCCTAGGACCATCCGATCGTTTTTTTTTTTAGGGCCCACCACCGCACGCTGCGGTTACCGCGTTACCCCCGCGCCCTACCCTCGTAGCGCCCTCGTTGCGCCCTAGCGCCCTCGTAGCGCCCTTGTAGCGCCCTCGTGCGCCCTGCCGACCGGCGTCCTGCCAGCCCAGAGCCCCGCGCGCCTCCCCCTCCCCTGCTTTGCCCGTCGCGCCGCCCGCTCTGCCCCGCGCTGCCCGTCGCGCTGCCTCGCAGCCCCGCGCACCGCCCGCTGTGCCCCGAGCCGCCCGTCGATCTGCTGCGCAGCCCCGCGACCCGCCCGCCCTGCCCTGCGCTGCCTGTCGCTCGGCTCTGCAGCCCCGCGCGCCGCCCGCTCTGCCCCGCGCAGCCCGTCGAGCTGCCTTGCAGCCCCGCGCGCCGCCCGCTGTGCCCTGCGCCGCCCGTCGCGCTGCCCGCCCGCCCGCCGCGCTGCCCGCTTGCGGAGTCGCCCGCCAGTCGCGCTGCCCGCCTGCAGCGCCGCCTGCCTGCCGCGCTGCCCGTCCACAGAGCCGCCTGTCCGCCGCGCTGCCCGCTTGCAGCGCCGCCTGCTGCTCCCTACCCGTGCGCAATTGCCCACCCTTGCTGCGGTAGCTTGCGCTGCTCTGTCATACTGTCGCTATGGCTTCCATCCGCGTGCTGTCGTTCGATGCTGAGGGCCGCCCTGTGCAGTTCACCACTTGGCTAGATGACCCTCCTGAGCGATAGCAAGGAGCATGTGTCGCTCTATGATTATGCGTCTGGTGCTGCGCCTGCCCCTCCTGCCACAGCTGAGCTTAGTGTTCGTTCCCACTGGCAGACTCGTGACGCAGCTGCTCGCCTAGCCATTCGCAGTCACCTGCCGTTAGCTGAGCTCGAGCATTTTGGCGACTGCAAATCCGCTAAGGCCCTGTACGACGCTGTCGTTGCTCGCTACTCCTCACCGGCCACAGCTGAGCTTAGCCGCCTCATGCTGCCTTACCTGTTCCCTGAGCTGTCCACCTTTGCTACAGTCGCCGATCTTATCACCCACCTTCGCACTAGTGACGCTCGCCTGCGTGCCGCCCTTCCCACTGAGTTCTGCGCTAAGAACCCCCCTCCACTGTACTGGACACTCCACTTCATAGTCACCCGTCTCCCTGACACCCTCAGCTCAGTGCGCGACTATTTCCTTGCTCGCTGTCCCACTGAGCTCACTGTCGCCCTCCTAGAGGAGAAGCTGCTAGCAGCCGAGAAGAGCATTGTAGCTGTAGGTGCTGCTCGCGGCGCTCCTCGCACCCCCATCTTTGAGGGGTGCTCTCCCTCTCCCCTCGCTCCCTCCTATGCTACTGCTGCTGCTGTTGACTTCCTTGGTGCTGAGTCTGCTGGCGCTGCTTCTGCTCCTGGTGGGAGGCGCCGCACCGGCAAGGGCAAGGGGGGCAAGGGTGGCGGGGGTGGCGCTGGGGGGGGAGGAGGTGGGGGAGGTGGGGGGGGAGGCGGTGCTGGAGGGAGCGGTGGCGGGAGTGCTGGTGGGAGTGGGGTCGGCAGCGGAGGCGGGGGCGGCGGAG